AGCTCTAAAAAAGACTGAATATTGATTGTTTGTGTGGAGGGGAGATCACTAGGCCAACCCTAACCCCATCCCCATCCAATCCTTTCCTTTCCTTACACACTGTAAACACGTCAGCTGCCTGATTTTCACGTGGCGTAAAAGAGAGAAAGAAAAGGGAAAAGAAATTTCCTTTCTCTCATCAAAATTCAGCCATTTTTTTTTTGTTGCCTCTTTTCTCCCGTTTTTCCTTAAGTGTTGCACTCAGTCTGGGTATTGGCCCTTTGAACTCTGATTTTTTGGGTACATCCGGGGAAAAACCTGGCCTTATATGGCCAGTTTGATGCTTCAATAGATAGTGTACGGCTTGGCTTTATCTGTACGGCTTGGCTTTGGCTGTACGGCTTGGCTTTGGCTGCACAGCTTGGCTTTGCCTGTACAGCTTGGCTTTGCCTGTACAGCTTGGCTTTGCCTGTACAGCTTGGCTTTATCTGTACAACTTGTCTTTGGCTGTACAGCTTGGCTTTCCTGTACAGCTTGGCTTTACCTCAGGGCTGTCAAGTCAAGCCGAGTATTTATTGATCGTTTTGATAGGATTGAGTCCTCTTGATATTTGAACTAAAGGTTACTAGAATTGTTAGAAATCTATTAGAGAAACTTTATGGGTCCCTTAATTTTCGAAATACTTGAACCTCTTGATCTTGAGCTTGATCGTGATCTTGATTGAAGTAATCTTGATCTCAATTAATTAGGAATTTTTGAATTCTGTCAGCGTTTTCTTTCGAAAAGGATGTAGAGAAAAGAAAAGAAATGATTGTAACTTTATGAGTTTTGAAGTAAATGTAAATGGTTGTTTTACTGGATTGTTTATTTGCAATGAAGCTTCCAACTTTTCTTATCCTTCTTTACAGCTATGATTCTTCTATTAATCTGTCTCGTTAACAATATATAACAATATTTCAGAGTCTTTTAACAAAGCTTTATTTAGATCGATTTCGACAAAGCTTTATTTAGATCTTTATTTCATTGGTGAATCATTTAGATGCCTTGAGGTCGATAAAGCTCTTTCTTTTAGGATTCTTTTAAGACAAGGTCAGCTTACAGGCAGCTTCATGTCAAGCCAAGCCAACCAGAGCAGCCAAGCCAGCCAAGCCGAGCAACTAGCTTTGAGCCTAACCTAAGCCAGTCTTGGGTAAATTAAGCTAGCCACCAGGCAAGCTTCAGGCTGGCCCAAGCTAAACCAACCCTAGCTAGGCCTTGCTTAGGACAAGGTCAGCTTACAGCCAGCTCCATGTCAAGTTAACCCAACCAGAGCAGCCAAGCCAACCAGAGCAGCCAAGCCAACCAGAGCAGCCAAGCCAACCAGAGCAGCCAAGCCAACCAGAGCAGTCAAGCCAGTCAAGCCAGTCAAGCCAGTCAAGCCAGCCAAGCCAGCCAGCCCAGGCCAAAAGGTTAGGCTCAGGTTCAGGCCAGCCCATCCTAAAACCTGTCTAGATCAACCTGATCCATAAAAATAATCTTTTCAACCTGTCTTCAATCTTATAGAACCATTTTTGCCAGTTTATTTCATTGGTGAATCATTTAGATTTGCTAATGATCACCTTGTGGTCGATAAAACTCTTTCTTTTAAATATATGTATAACATTCAGCCATCCTTTTCCTTCAATCTTGAAACCATGACTGCCTAAGATCGATAAGCTCAATAAGTGCATTGTTCAATCTACTAATTTGACAGAAAACTATCCTAGAGTTTGTGTTTGCTGTCCTTTGATCCGGAAACGAAAAACAGTTCTCTTTGCCCCCGTTTCACGCCTATTTGTTTCCGCTTTCTCCATAAACGATTTGCTATTTCCTAATCAATACCACATGATGTCTGAGTAATCAAAATTCACTTGAATAGCTAGTTTTGAAAGTTTTGAAAGCCTGAAAAACATGTATAGCAAAAAATCTATAGTTTCCTAAACCTTTTATCATTGCTCTAATCTCTTTTTGATTGCTGACCTTTGGACGCCAATATGGTTGACCTGTTGATAATGAGATAATAAAAGCTTTGAAAGCTTTACTTTTTAGAGCTAGAGTGCTTCAATAGATAGTGTACAGAGGGATTGTTCTGGCGTCTGGCTTTACCTGTACAGCTTGCTCTGGCTTTGCCTCAGAGTTGTCAAGTCATGCTGACCTAGTTTGGCTTGCCTTACAGGCTATAGGAATCGGTTGGAGTCCTGAAGATCCTATAGGACCTATGAAGGCCCTATAGGACCTATGAAGGCCCTATAGGACCTATGAAGGCCCTATAGGACCTATGAAGGCCCTATAGGACCTATGAAGGCCCTATAGGACCTATGAAGGCCCTATAGGACCTATGAAGGCCCTATAGGATTAATGAAGACCATATAGGACTAATGAAGACCCTATAGGGCCCACGAAAACCCTATAGAACCTATGAAGACCCTATAGGATCCCTAAAGAGTATTACTGTACCTACAGTGTTACAGTAACAGTTGGGTAGAACAGTAAAGTAGAATGACTCTTTCAATATTCTCTAGTTTATGTCTAGTCTATTTGATCAATACAATAGCCTTTCCTTTTTGATCCATCACTCCAAATTCTTGCGTATCTACCTATGAAAAATCTCTTTTTTTTTATGGGTGAGTATCGAATCGGAATCCTTTTGAGAAAAGAGAGAAAGATCTCTCGCGCGCGCATGGAATGATTGATCTCATTCACCGAATAACTTTAGCCGAATCTCTTTATCACCAATCAAATGAATGCTGATTGATCAAATCTACATTACAAACGAAACCTTTCTAGTGCACTGTATTCATCAAATTACTGATCAGTTTTTAAAAGTCGAAGAATTAAGTGCACTAAAAAGGTTGGGGTTTCGATTTTTGACGCTGCTTTTAACTCGTGCTATTCTATTTTTCTTTTGTAAAAATTCAGATTTTAGCTTTTAGTTTGTTGTTTATTTATTGTTTTACAGATATACATTGACCTTCTAAAGAAAAAGATTTTGCCTAATGATCTGACTGGATTTAACAGCACTGACATAAGCACTACAAAAAGCACTGTGTTAAAAGTTTCTAGTACACTACTGGACAATGAAATATTATATTTGAAAAACGATCGTCACTTTCGCACGTCTGTAACTTCCTTGTCTTTACCGTATTTCTAAAGATTAATATTACCATTGTGTAGCCCTTGAAAAGAGCTTTCAGAAAATGTAGAACACTAATAGTTTAAGCTCAAAGACAAACTCAAAGACAAGGGAGTTACAGACGCGCGAAGGTGATGATCGTTTTTCAAATATCATATTTCATTGTAGTGTATATAACTGACAGACTGAATAATTTTAAAGGCTTTAGTTTACGACTGAACTAAAGGAATGCTACAATTTTTCAGGACAGACTTGTGGCTTGGCTTGCAAAGTGTAACCAGGCTAGAGTTAGGGCTGTAGCTGACTTTAGTTTGACTCTAGCTTGATCTGGTCGAGCTTTCGAGGTCGAGCTTTCGAGGTCGAGCTTTCGAGGTCGAGCTTTCGAGGTCGAGCTTTCGAGGTCGAGCTTTCGAGGTCGAGCTTTCGAGGTCGAGCTTTCGAGGTCGAGCTTTCGAGGTCGAGCTTTCGAGGTCGAGCTTTCGAGGTCGAGCTTTCGAGGTCGAGCTTTCGAGGTCGAGCTTTCGAGGTCGAGCTTTCGAGGTCGAGCTTTCGAGGTCGAGCTCAAAGTCAAAGTGTAACCAGGCTAGAGTCAAAGTGTAACCAGGCGAAATCATTAGGCAAAATCTTTTTCTAATTCAAAATATTTTACTGTTTTCATAAAGAAAAAAACAAAAAACAAAGTCGAATTCTGTAAAAGAAAAGCAAATCGAATTTCCGTTTCTTTATCTTTTTGACCCAATTTTCCCAATCGATTTTGTTTATTGTCACAGTGAGATAAGTCAAAAAAAACTGTTTATTTTCTTTTACTTCATCATCACCTTCTCTCCACAGCAATATTTACTTACACGTCGTAGTGGACACATCAGTGATGATCTAGTAGACAGGTTGTTGATTTGATTTCACTGATGTACCACCATAAACCATGTTCACTAACTGGCCACGAGATGCATCGAGTTTCCCTTGCTAAACGGTATGAGAGTTTTGTAAATTAAGCTCTATGGAGCTGAATGGCACGTGGCTACGTGGCTACGTGGCTACGTGGCTAAAATAGAGCGTATATCACCGGATCAGAGGTTGGCTTGGATTGGCTTGGATTGGATTGGCTTGGATTGGATTGGCTTGGATTGGATTGGATTGGCTTGGCTTGGCTTGGCTTGGATTGGATTGGCTTGGATTGGATTGGCTTGGATTGGATTGGATTGGATTGGATTGGATTGGCTTGGATTGGATTGGCTTGGATTGGCTTGGATTGGCTTGGATTGGATTGGCTTGGATTGGATTGGATTGGCTTGGATTGGATTGGCTTGGATTGGATTGGATTGGATTGGCTTGGCTTAGCTCATCGGATTTTGTTATGCAAAGATTAAGGTACAACTTCCGAAAGTGATTCAAAAGCTATTTTCCATAAACTTTAGTTTAAAACAAATATGAATTCTTTTGTAAAAATCGTTTAGAAATCTTTTAGATGATCTTTTGAAACTTTTGAAATTGTTGATCGAATAAATCTACTCTAAAACAATTTCTGAATGAAATCAGAAAGCTTTCGTACTTAAAACATCAATTTATAGCTCAATTTTGGTATTTGCTGAAGAAATACAAGACTTTAATACCAAAATTGAGCTGATTTTTGATTTGATGACGGTTTGGATGGCATTTAGAAAGGCAAAATCCTCTTTTTGTCTTTTATTTATCTAAATCTACCATTTTTCTATGTAAATAATCCGTTTCTCCATTTCTTTCTTCAATTTTCTTTAAAACCATTACTCTAACTCATTTCAGGCAGTTCTCTTCATCTTTCATCGTCAGCTTTAAACAAAATCGGCTAATTCATTCTTTTAATCCCTTATTTTTGTGAAGCGTTGAGGTGACAATGGCCTCTGATGCTCAACCATGTCCCCTCCAAAGGAGCACTCATCAACATCCACCGAAACCGCCCTACGATGTTGGTGAGATCAAGCATGAGGTGAGGATAATAAAGAAGTAAATGAGGACTGAGGGAATTCAAATGTTGACGTTTACCTTATCGAGCAGATACTCTACCACTGACCTATTGGTGTCTTCTTTGCAAAATAGGAAAGACAAGGAAGAAAGAGAAAGAGAAAGAAGGAAAGAAGAGAAAGAAGGAAAGAAGGAAAGAAGAGAGAAAGAGAAAGAAGGAAGAAGGAAGGAAGAGAAAGAGAAAGAAGGAAAGAAGAGAAAGAAGAGAAAGAAGAGAAAGAAGGAAGAGTTTTAAGAAATTCTAGTTGTAAAAGTAGTCTCTAGAAATCAATGATAAATGCTGAGCTATTGGTGTCTTCTTTGCAAAAGAAATAGGAAAGACAAGGAAGAAAGAGAAAGAGAAAGAAGAGAAAGAAGGAAAGAAGGAAAGAAGGAAGAAAGAGAAAGAAGAAAGAAAGAGAAAGAGTTTTAAGAAATTCTAGTTTTCTAGAGATTTTCTCGGAAACCTAATGAAATTTTGTAAAAGTAGTCTCTAGAAATCAATGATTTTATCAATGATGAATTCTATTTTAAGATTGATAATTCTTCATGTTTATTGTAGTAATATTTCTATAGAATAAAACTATAGAAAAATTAAAGAAAAAATCTTTCTAAATAGAAAACAAACTCTAGAAATCATTGTCCATTCGATGAGATAAAAGTTTCCATAAAAATTCCATCAAAAAGATCAAGGAAATGAAAGAAGAACAGCTTTTTTGCGTAAAAATTTGTCCTTAAGCTGTTTTTCTATTTAGAAAGAGTTTAATTGAAGAGTTTAAAATATCTTATCTTATAGATTTCATCAAGTTTTTTAGGTGCCACCAAATTTGAGTGACAGCAATCATTCTCCATTCAGTACACTCAAGGAAGTGATCGAGGTGAGAAAGAAATGAAATAAACAAGAACTAATTAGAAGGAACTATTTACAAGGAACTAATTACAAGGAACTATTTACAAGGAACTATTTACAAGAAACCATTTACAAGAAACTATTTACAAGGAACTATTTACAAGAAACTATTTACAAGGAACTATTTACAAGAAACCATTTACAAGGAACTAATTCCAAGAAACTATTCACAAGAAACTATTCACAAGAAACTATTTACAAAGAAACCATTTACAAGATTTCTTTAGATTAAAAGTACATTTACTGTACATTTATGTACAAAAGTACATTTACTTAATAAGAACTGGTAAAAATCTTACGAAAACAGAAGTTTTGAATTCTATTTTTTTGATTTAGTGTGTGATATGCGGTGATCGAGCTTGTTCTCATCTCTACTACGGGGTTTCTGCGTGTCATGGATGTGAGTTTTACTTTAAAATCTGAGATTATTCTTTTAAAAACAATAAATACCAGTATTATTCTAGTTAATATCGTATTAGTTTACAATTTCGTTCAATTTCGGTCAATTTCGTTCAATTTTGTTCATACTAGTGAAGCCAAAGAAGGGATTAAAAGTGAAATTCCATTAGGTACACTACTGGACAATGAAATATTCATATTTGAAAAACGATCGTCACCTTCGCACGTCTGTAACTTCCTTGTCTTTACCGTATTTCTAAAGATTAATATTACCATTGTGTAGCCCTTGAAAAGAGCTTTCAGAAAATGTAGAACACTAATAGTTTAATGTTCATACTAGTGAAGCCAAAGAAGGGATTAAAAGTGAAATTCCATTAGGTACAGTACTGGACAATGAAATATGATATTCGAAAAACGATCGTCACTTTCGCGCGTCTGTAACTCCCTTGTCTTTGAGTTTAAACTATTAGTGTTATACATTTTCTGAAAGCTCTTTTCAAGGGCTACACAATGGTAATATTAATATTTACAAATACGGTAAAGACAAAGGAGTTACAGACGGGCGAAGGTGACGACCCTTTTTCAAATATGATTCAAATTTCAATTTTGTTCATACTAGTGAAGCCAAAGAAGGGATTAAAAGTGAAATTCCATTAGGTAAATGCATAAGAAATGTGGATTTCAACATTTTCATAAATTTCCAACGATAGAAACCTGATATCGATGAATGTTATAAACTATTTGAAAGTTGTAAATCTCCTCGACAAAATCTCCTCTACAAAATAGGCTAAATAGAAAATAGGCTTGATCGAAGCATTGAAGAAATTTCGAAGGGGAAATGCGAGTAACCAAAAAAAGGAATCGAGTCACTTTAGGGACAAGTTTAGTGTCGTCAAAATAGAGTTGGCTTTCCAAAATTGAAGATATAAAAAAGAAAGAATAACGATATATCAATTCATATCAAAAGTCTAACGGAAATGCATTTACAGAAATTTCGATAGAGCGTTTAGATAGACCAAAAAAAGGGCACTTTTTCAAAACCCCACTTTCACAAGAGTTCGGTTTTGACTATATAGTGAAAAATGACCTATATAATGGACTAAAATATCATTCAAAATAATTAAGAGTTCGGAAAATTTCATGGGAAAACTTTGTTTTTACAATCATTTTTCTTTTTTCTGAAAAAGCCGGTTTTTTTTTGATATTTTTGAGGGTTTTGCAATTACGCTATGAAAATAAAGTTATTTAAAGGAAAAATGGTTAAAAATTTCATTCAGGTAAATGTTTTTTTTGGCGAACAGTGAAAACAACGGCAAAATACGTATGTCGTTACGATGGAAATTGCAAAATAAGCACCGGTTTGTTAAGAAAAGAAATTTAGAAAAGAAATTTAGATAGAAATTTGTCTTTTAAATAAATAAATATAAAGATTAAAAAACTATTTATTTAATAAATTCTTTTAGAGGATTCTTTTAGAGGAATTTATGAACAAAAAAAAAAGGGTTTAGCTGGCCGTAATGCTTGCCGCTTTTGTCGTTTTAATCGATGCTTGGCAGTGGGGATGAAAATTGAATGTAAGTTGAAGGATGGGAATTCAAAAAAAAAGAAAATTATCTGTTATCTATAGCTCTATAGATAAGCATATGATTATAATTTAGCTGTTCGAATGGAAAAACGAATTGCTAGCGGTGGAAACACGACGACCACCGGGTACACAAGTGGATCGACGAGCACCCTTCGAAAGGCGACAAAGAGTGGAGCGGTGGGAATTTAAAAACAATAAATCGAATATAAAAAGAATATCAAAAATTAGCATATCAAAAATTAGTATATTAAAGAATATCTTTCCTATTACCGTATTTTCTCTAATAGTAGTGCACTCGGGCGAGCCGAGTTAGGTGACTATTTACGGCTTTCAAAGTTTTCCCAGAAGCTCAACACTCAAATCCCCCAAAAGATCTCATTGTCAGCTACATTTTCCGACCCCACATCGATAGGTTCTGATAAGCGGTTCTCGAGATTTCGAGAGCAATTTAGGCGACGCTCAGGGTCGCTCAATACTATTAGAGAAAATACGGTAAATGCCAGCAAAAGCAAAGCTCAGGACGCTCCGGAGCTCAGGACAGAGCTTAGGACAGAGCTCAGGACAGAGCTCAGGACAGAGCTTAGGGACAGAGCTTAGGACAGAGCTTAGGACAGAGCTTAGGACAGAGCTTAGGACAGAGCTCAGGACAGTCATGTTAACCCATTTTTCGATCCGTTTTTCGTTGCCAATCTATGTATTTTCCTCGTATCTTAGCCGGGTTTATTTGAAAAACGTTGAACTTGCTTTCATTCGATTTGAAATCAAATTTTCTATCAAATGAAAGCAAATTCAACGTTTTACAAACAATCTCGGTTAAGATGCGAGAAATATGAAATTCAAAAATTCGTTGCCAACAGATTCTTTTGTAAAATTCGTTGCCAACAGATAAATGAACCAAAGAGAGGGACGGAGTTTGCATAACTGGCTTTGGATAGAGATTTCTATAGGCATCAATTCTCTTTCTACATCTGTATACAGAAAATTTATACTTAAAGTTTATGTATTTACATTTACACACGTTAATAGCGTTTAAACAAGAGCTTTAGTCTAAAAAGTCGGTTTTAAGAAAACGAAAAGCACAACAGTAGAAAAGGTTGTTGAAGGATCAAAGTTTACGCAACTTTTTTGAATTTATAGAGTAATTTATGAGAATATCTAGATATCAATATGATATCAATATAGATTTTTTAGGTGATTCAACGTCCACCAAAGCGAGAACGCGAAAAGCGCCCGATGAGCAGCCATGAGAGTGATTTTGAAGCCGATTGGGACATGAAAGAGTCGGTGAGTGGGAAGAGAAAGAAAGCTAGTTTCATCTCTAGCTTCTTTCTTTCTTAATTCAAAAGCTAGCTTCTTCCCTAACTTATTTCTTTCTTAATTCAAAAGCTAGCTTCATCTACAACTTATCCCTTTCTTAATTCAAAAGCTAGCTTCATCTACAACTTATCCCTTTCTTAATTCAAAAGCTAGCTTCATCTACAACCTATCCCTTTCTTAATTCAAAAGCTAGCTTCATCTACAACCTATTCCTTTCTTAATCCAAAAGCTAGCTTCATCGACAACTTATTCCTTTCTTAATTCAAAAGCTAGCTTCTTCCCTAACTTATTCCTTTCTTAATTCAAAAGCTAGCTTCATCTCTAGCTTCTTTCTTTCTTAATTCAAAAGCTAGCTTCTTCCCTAACTTATTCCTTTCTTAATTCAAAAGCTAGCTTCATCTACAACTTATTCCTTTCTTAATTCAAAAGCTAGCTTCATCTACAACTTATTCCTTTCTTAATTCAAAAGCTAGCTTCATCTACAACTTATTTCTTTCTTAATTCAAAAGCTAGCTTCATCTACAACTTATCCCTTTCTTAATTCAAAAGCTAGCTTCATCTCTAGCTTCTTTCTTTCTTAATTCAAAGTTTTATATTATTATATTTTCTTTTCGACTTTGAATTCAACTAGAAAACTGTTTTCACTATGAATTTCTTTGAGAGAAAGTTGTGAAACGATAAAATTCAATGTGAAATTGCTGTCAAATAACAGTTTTTTCGGGAATAATTGTCAAATTAATAGAAAAATATACAAGAGAAACAAATTATATAATAAATATCTATTAAATTTTAAGTTTAATTTCAAGTTTAATTGTAATCAACTAAAAAAAAGCTTAAATTTTGAGTATAATTTTGATTTTAGCTATGAGGAAAAGTAAAAAATGAGAATTTCTCAAAATTCGAATCTTTGTGGGCAGATTTTAAGGGAGTTTTGTGTTTTTAAAGTCCTCAAAAAGGGTATTTATATTTGAGCCGACTTGATCGTTTGAGCTCTCAAATTTGAGTCACAAAAAGAAAGAGGAAAAAAAAGGGGAAGAGAAAAGAAAAGAGGGAAATGTTGAGATGACATCAACAGATCAAAGAAAAAGGGAAATGAAAAGAAATGGAGAAAAAAAAACCCCAACCTTTTGCACCCAAAGGAAACATTTTTCTTGATAAAACCATTCACATACAAAGCTTGATTTCATGCTAATCGTTTTGGATTTTCGAATGTTAGTGGTTTGTTGGCTTAAAAGTTGGCGAGCGTTACTTAGCAAGTACTTGACAGTACGTCATTTGGCAATACGTTACTTGACAGTACGTGACTTGGCAGTACGCTACCTGGCAATACCTGACTTGACAGTACGTTACTTAACAGTACGTTACTTGGCAATACGTGACTTGGCAGTACGCTACCTGGCAATACCTGACTTGACAGTACGTTACTTAACAGTACGCTACTTGGCAATACGTGACTTGACAGTACGTCATTTGGCAATACGTTACTTAACAGTACGTTACTTGGCAATACGTTTACTTGGCAATACGTTACTTGGCATAGCTTTACCTAGATTTAAAACTACGGAAAGTGTGTTAACTACTGAGCTTTCATTAGATTTTTAAGCATTTCAAGACTTTACCAATTCCCATCACTTTCAGGAAGCGGCAAAGCGTCAACGAATGGACAATCGAATCCTCATCAACTCGCTTCTTTTAATCGATCGTAATGCGAATGAAGGCGCTGGACACGCGGCGACGGCGGCTCCTGAAACCGGGCAACCAGTGACGCTCAGGTGTGCAATGTTCTTTAGAATTATAAGCTTCATTTCAGGCAAGCCTTTGACAATCCAAAACTCTTGGACAAGTACCGAAACGTGTTGCGATTCGATCGAAAAGAGCCAGCCGATTGCGCGATGTTGGCCGATTCGGCGCGTCGCCTGTTGACATGGACAATGGACTGGACGAGGCTTGTGTGCAATTTGGAAGAGGCTTTGGATACAACGGATAAGGTGAATAGACAAGTATTTTCAAAATTAAATTCGATGATTAAAGGGATTTTTTTCAAAAAGTACAGAAGGTCACGACTAGGCGGATCGAACCGCAAGCTCCCGACCAAGAGACGGGGCACTTAGCCAGTCGGTCACGGCGGCATTTCGTTCGTTGGGATTATTTTGGGTTCTAATTCTCGATACAGGCAACTTTTGTACCGGAAAACTTCGTAAAAACGGCTAAATTGTTTAAAGTTTTCCCCAAAGTTTCAACACTTTGTAAATCGGTTTTTTAAATGGAAAATATTCGCTTAAATCCAGCTTACAGAGCTTTTAAGCTTACAAACATGTTGTTTCTATATATTTCTTTTTACAGATGAAACTCTTACGGAATTGCTTCGCTCCATTGACACTTCTCGAGCTGGGAACACAGGCAAAACTTTGATTTGATAAAGATTTAAAAGAAAAAAAGCTATAAAATATAAAATATATAACGAATTCTATAGAAAAGCTATATAGATAAAGCTATAAACTAAATAATTCTACAGAAAATTACTCGAAAAACAAAGAAAAACAAAACCCAAAACACATTTCAGACTCTTGTGAGCCCGGCGTCAATCCTTTTGCTTCCTGGGCCTGGTTACATCTACCATGATGGCACAAAACTCCCAGATAATTGGTAAAAAGCTTAGTACTTTATTTGATCGTGCTATGAAATGACTTTAAATCTTAATTTATTAAAACGGAATTTTCTCTTAGCTTCTTGAACAATAAAATCGTCTCGAAAATCCTCTCCTCACTTCGCACAAGACTCGTCAACATAGCACTTGACGAAAAAGAAGTCGTCATGCTCAAGGCGATCATTGTTCTCAATCCAGGTGAGCAAATGGGAAAAAATAAAAATGAAAAATCTAGTCCACACTTTAAAGGCCTATAACTTTGTCTAGAGGTCAGATTTTTACTAACTTTTTATCTAATTGTACAGAGAACATTTCAGGCTTTCAAATGATATCAAATAGAGCTTGATTGGATAATCGAGTCAAAGAGAATCACAGCCCACAGCCAATGTGGCCGATCAAACTCGGTTATTGTGTCGCCTGATTTTCATGGGAATGAAAAATCCAGTCAAGCTCTATTTGGTATCATTTGAAAGCCTCGTAAGTTCTCGTAAACGCCCGGCATCTAGCACATCACTACTATACTTTTCTTTGGGGTAATGTAAGCCAGAAGACTGAGAATTTCATAAACCCATGAAAACCAGGCGAGTAGTGATGCGCTAGATGCCGGGCGTTTACGAGAACTTACGAGGCTTTCAAATGATACCAAATAGAGCTTGACTGGACTTTTTTATTCCCATGAAAATCAGGCGACACAACAACTGAGTTGGATGGCTGTTGGCTCTGATTTTCTTTGACTCGATTATCCAATCAAGCTCTATTTGGTATCATTTGAAATCCTGAAATGTTCTCTGTACAATTATATGAAAAGTTAGGAAAAATATGATCTCTAGACAAAGTTATAGGCCTTTAAAGTGTGGTCCGTTTAAAATCGTCGAAAAGAGATAGAAAGAGGTAGAAAGAGGTAGAAAGAGGTAGAAAGAGATTAGAAATAGTTGATATAACAGAGCAGTGTCTATCCGTCGGTCTGTTTATCTATACTGGCCTTTTGCTCGGCCGTGTTTTGACCAATAAAGCTAAAACTTCTTTAGAAAACCCTAGACCTTATTGTAGTTGTGCCATTTACAGGATTTATAAATCAAAGTTGATTGAAACACCCGAGAATCGAACCAGGATCGTGTGGGCTGTAGACGAGCACGCTCCCGACTACGCTATGATGACAAGAATCCCGCCCAGAAAAACTCGCTGTTATTAAACTCGCGGCGGGTTTTTCGGCTGGTTAAGACAGTATACCAAAAGCCGAAAAACCCGTCTGACGCTTTCTAAGTGAATTTTTCGGGGCCGAGGTTGCTCTCACCGTGGCGCAGTCGGGAGTGCTCCTGTCTCTTGCCCGCCAGGTCCCGGGTTCAGTCCCCCGTGGTGCCATTCAACTTTCCCTTTTTAAATTTTGATTTTAAATGAGACAACTATATTATGTTTTCAGATTTATTAAAGTAATTTCAGTTTTTTTCGACCTAAAGATTGCTGAGAAAAAGCCCGTACAGACAGCTTATATAGTAGCTGAAAAGCCACCATTTTCCTTAAAATGAGTGCACAGATTCAGATGCCGATTGTTTGGCGTTGCACGCGGCGGGAGCGGTGAACTCTCTGCGCACCCGGGCTCATTCGGCTCTCTACCAGCATATTGTCGACAAATCGGATGCGCCGAAAGCGGCGGCTCGGCTAGCCAACATTCTTCTCTTAATCCCGAATCTCATGGTGAGTTTTAGCAGTAAGATCTTTTACAATGAGCCTTCTAAAACAATTTTGCAGCCTCTTAAAACTTTACTTTTGCAGTTACTCGCGGGTGAACTTGTTGAACATATCAGAATGGCTCACACGTTCTCAGCAAACTCTACGGTTTATGATCCTCTTCTTTATCAATTGTTTGGTGATATCTTCGAGGACTCATCGGCTTCAGCGGATCAACGTGGCGAAGGGCCACACTCACTGTAAGTCTAATGGAGTAGAAGTCTAATAGAATAGAAGTCTAATGGAATAGAAGTCTAATAGAATAGAAGTCTAATAGAATAGAAGTCTTATAGAATAGAATTCTAATAAAATAGAATTCTAATAGAATAGAATTCTAATAGAATAGAATTCTAATAGAATAGAATTCTAATAGAATAGAATTCTAATAGAATAGAATTCTAATAGAATAGAATTCTAATAGAATAGAATTCTAATAGAATAGAATTCTAATAGAATAGAATTCTAATAGAATAGAATTCTAATAGAATAGAATTCTAATAGAATAGAATTCTAATAGAATAGAAGTCTAATAGAATAGAAGTCTAATAGAATAGAATTCTAATAGAATAGAATTCTAATAGAATAGAATTCTAATAGAATAGAATTCTAATAGAATAGAATTCTAATAGAATAGAATTCTAATAGAATAGAAGTCTAATAGAATAGAAGTCTAATAGAATAGAAGTCTAATAGAATAGAAGTCTAATAGAATAGAATTCTAATAGAATAGAATTCTAATAGAATAGAAGTCTAATAGAATAGAATTCTAATAGAATAGAAGTCTAATAGAATAGAATTCTAATAGAATAGAAGTCTAATAGAATAGAATTCTAATAGAATAGAATTCTAATAGAATAGAAGTCTAATAGAATAGAAGTCTAACAGAATAGAAGTCTTATAGAATAGAATTCTAATAGAATGTTAGTAGCCTGTTAAGTATAAAATGTACTCGTTGTCAGAAGCTATTGAGTTGTAAGGGGTGAAACGTCGGTGTCGAGTGCTTTAAAGCATGCTCAAGCTACCGTAGCCGGCCTTCTCTATTCAGTAGTATTTCGCTTTTTGAAAAATCCTATTTCTAGATCTAGCTATTACGGTGATTTCACAGTACTCAACCTACAGTACCCACTTGTGAACTTTTACATAACTTCTCTAGATTTTAAAGAATACCAAAGCTACCGTAACCCAGCACTACCGTAACCCCGATCCCCGTAACCAAAGCTACCATAACCCAGCACTACCGTAACCCCGATCCCCGTAACCAAAGCTACCATAACCCAGCACTACCGTAACCCCGATCCCCGTAACCAAAGCTACCATAACCCAGCACTACCGTAACCCCGATCCCCGTAACCAAAGCTACCGTAACCCAGCACTGTTCTCTATACGGTACCGTAGCCCCGTCTACAAAACTCATAGATCTTTAGATCAATAGAAAAAAAAGATAGAGGATAAGAAAGAATCGAGCATATAACCAAATAAATAACCAAATAAATAACCAAATAAATAACCAAATTTCCCTCACCAATCTTTCAAGCCGATTTTCTTGTAGGCCAATTTTACCAATTTACAGAAAAATGGGCTTGTTTTTTTTGTTTTGCTTCAGATTATTTTTGAAATCAGCTCAAAAATGTTTAATGGTAATATGTATATGATAACACATTTCTTGCAAAGTAAACCTTCAAAACAATCGGTGAATTTGGCGAGTTTTTACACTAGAATCATGGGAAAAAAAGCGACATTTCATACTTTCATTGATCTAAAACATCGAATTTGTGTGTGATTTGTGAACTTTTTCAAATGCTGACTTGCGTAGCTGACGCATGACTCACAGGGAACCCCAGATCCGGATTCGCACCTCTACGCAATCATGCAAAGAACAGAAGGATGACTACGCGACACTACAAAACGCCTACAGTACTATGAACTGCCTATTGGAGTGTCACGTAGTTGTCTTTTCGCTCTTTGTTTGTATAGAGATCGGGATTGGAAATCCCTGATGACTAATTCGTAACGAACAGTTATGCTAGCCGGCCACGTTTAAGAGAGACGTTTAAGAGAGACAATTTGACCTCGGGAAAAGTTTACAAGTTCAACTTACAAACTCATACCGATGTTTACTCAATTCATTGGCTTATCCCCAATTTCAGGCACTCCTCATCGTGTAGTCCGATTGTGGAGGAGACATGCGTGGAAAGCGCTTGACTCGTACGGAGGGGGACTCATCAAACCATCGCTCATCCACAAAGAGCCCAACAAACCCATCGACAACCTTTTTACGATCAGCCATCAACATCGAAAATGACTGACATCTATACTGGTGAGTTTTAAAAAGATTTTCCTAAGCCTAGCTCTTTCGTCAGGTCTTAGCCTTGTTTGGTTCGCCTTGTTTTGTATAGTTTTACTTCAAAAATTCGCTTTCCTTTGCTGTGAACCTACAAAAGTCTAGTTTGAACATTGCTAAAATGCCATTCTCTTATCGATAGCATTTCTTGCAACCCGGGCAATTGACAAGGGGATAAAACGAAAGCGTTCAAGTTCAGAGCACGGATTTTCTCAATCATTACACCAAGTCATTTGTCTTTAAAGCCCCAGGGTCCAGAAAAGACAGACAATAAGCGGTTCTTGCATAGTTTCTGGGTATTTTGAACGAATCGTCACACTTTAAAGGCCTATAACTTTGTCTAGAGGTCAGATTTTTGCTAACTTTTTATCTAATTGTACAGAGAACATTTCAGGCTTTCAAATGATACCAAATAGAGCTTGATTGGATAATCGAGTCAAAGAAAATCAGAGCCAACAGCCAATGTGTTCTATCCAACTCGGTTGTTGTGTCGCCTGGTTTTCATGGGAATCCAATCAATCTTTCATGGGAATCCAATCAATCATTTGAAAGTCTGAAATGTCCTCTGTACAATTATATAAAAAGTTAGCAAAAATATGATCTCTAGACAAAGTTATAGCCCTTTAAAGTGTGATCCGTTCAAAATACCTCGAAACTACAAAAGAGTTTTTCTTAGTGAAGACTTCAAATTTTGAGCTAATTGAAGAATTGTTCTAGAAAGAATGATGGAAGAGTCTCCCTCCTCTCTGAAAAGTTCGAATTTTCATCAGCACCTACTCCAAACCAAGCGCTTCCAAAAAGGGAAGATGAATAGCTGATGGTAGGTTTTTGAAAAGTATTTAACGAATAGAAACTTTCAAAAGCTTGTTTTCTTTGTGTTCTAATAGTAGACACAATAATAAAATAGGCCAGTTTTCCCGAACGCTTGAACTTTGTAGCCAAAATCTAAACCCACCTTTTCTGGCACAGGATTTACTAAATCAGAAATGTTCTTTCATTTAAAGTACAGTACAAAAGTAGAGTACAAAGTACAAGTAGAGTACAAAGCACAAGTACAGTACAAAGTACAAGTACAGCACAAAGTACAAGTACAGCACAAAGTACAAACTCGAGAAGTTCTCGTAAACGCTCGGCATCTAGCGCATCACTATTATACTTTTCTTTGGGGTATTGTAAGCTAGAAGACTGAGAATTTGATCAGCTAATCTTTTTTAGATATTCAGAGAAACTTTAATGCTCAAATTTTCAGATATCTTCGATAAAACGCGACATTTTTCTAACGAAGTCTCGATCAATCTTCACAAATTACATTCAAATCCGTTGTACTACTCATTACATTCAATATTCAACTACAAATTACATTCAAATACGTCGTACTACTCATTACGTTGTCCTTCTACAAAAAATTCTTTTGATTTATTCCTTTTTATTCCCCATTTTTGTGCCTTTTTCTAGTGCATTCAGTTTCCGAAAAAATTCCTTTTTAAAAATTTGTTTTTCTTTTTTTCTTATCACTTATTTTAATCTGTTATTTATTTTTTTCACTTATTATATTAATAAGTTTTATAAATGATTTGTGTAGAGTTAGAATATATATATATATATATGCTTTATTCAGTTGAATAGCGACAAGACAAAATCACAATAATTACCCGGGACACCACTCAAAACACACCCCAAAAGATAAATGGATACCTCAAGACGGTTATTATGCTGTTTTATGCTTTATTATGCATTCCTGAATCTCTTAGGTGATGAGCGGTGGCCGTTTCAAGGCGTTTCAAGACAATAATTACCCGGGACACCACTCAAAACACACCCCAAAAGATAAATGGATACCTCAAGAAAGAATCACAGAGCAGTCAAATGAATTGCCGAAATTGCGGCTTGGCTAGATTTAAATCTAGCCAAGGTGGAAATATCACGAACATGAGGGGGTAAAATGTTCCAGAATTTAATAACTCGATTAAAAAAGAAACTGTGGGGGCTTTTAGAGGAAACGGAAGGTTGGCGTATGAGAAAAGGCCCCCTTCTGGCCTTGGAGGCGCCTCGTAGAGAGCCGAATTCAAAGAGACCAGAAAAAAGGGGGTCGGGATCAATGCCTTTAAAGGGGGGGTATTCATCGCGGCCGGGTGACAATAAAAAATTTTTTACGGCAACCACCTGTTTTTTTATTTTAATATCGCTGATTCTATTATAAAAAGAATAAAAATCACCCGGCTAGAGTGATTTGATGGGTTTACAAATTTTTGGAGACACTGCAAGGCTTGGAGAAAAACAAGATCATCAGACACTCATCAGACACCTCAGCACAGTCTAGATCGATTGAGTTTTAATTGCAGATAAATTTAAAAACAAAATAAAAAGCACAAAAAACAATAAAAATAAATTGTTAATCTATAATTCTTCCTCTTGCTCACCTTCATCTTCGCTCAAGTAAAGCAGTTCCTCAAATCGGCTTCCTATCTTATCAATTTCCAGCGCATCTTCACCAGAAGTGACTGGATCTCCTCCACCAGGAGAAGTGACTGAATCTCCTCCACCAGGAGAAGTGACTGGATCTCCTCCACCAGGAGAAGTGACTGAATCTCCTCCACCAGGAGAAGTGACTGGATCTCCTCCACCAGGAGAAGTGACTGAATCTCCTCCACCAGGAGAAGTGACTGGATCTCCTCCACCGTAGGACGTCTTCAGCGCTTTGATTGACACAATTAGATCTTTTTTCCATTTGTGGTCGCTTGTGGTTTTAGTTTTCTCAAATAGGTGCCTTTTAGCTTTCTTTTAGCTGAGGTGTCTGATGAGTGACGATCTTGTTTTTCTCCAAGCCTTGCAGTGTCTCCAAAAATTTGTAAACCCATCAAATCACTCTAGCCGGGTGATTTTTATTCTTTTTATAATAAAATCAGCGATATTAAAATAAAAAAAACAGGTGGTTGCCGTAAAAAATTTTTATGGTTACCCGGCCGCGATTAATACTTCCCCCTTTAAGTTCTTTAAGATCTCTAAAATCTTTGAACTTCTTGAAGACTTTAAAACTTCTTTAAAACTTCTTTAAGATTCTTCAAAACTCTTCAAGACTTTAAGAACTCAGTGAATCGGGATAACACACTGGATGTGGAGTGATTTTTCGCAAGGTAGCGGATGATTTAGATATCGACTCAATTACCCAAGTTCAATGTATTTCAATTCAAAAATATGCGCTAAGTTTGACAATTTTTTAAGCACAACAGTTTGTAGGCGAATAAAAGAAACACCGAAAAAAAAACAAGCGCCAAGAAAACAGAGAGATTGTGAGAAAACAAAGAAAAGTTGTTTTCTAAAAAGCGAATCTCAGAGAGGTTAGCGTAATCTGTTAAATGGGGTTTAAATTGTAGAAAATCTGGCTACGGTAGTCTTTGGCTACGGTAGTTTTCAAAGCGATACGATATTGATAAGGTTAGGAGTAGATTACGGCAAGATTACGAATAGATTACGATAAGATTACGATAAGATTACGATAAGATTACGATGAGATTACGATAAGATTACGAATAGATTACGATAAGATTACGATAAGATTACGATGAGATTACGATGCGATTACGATAAGATTACAATAATATACCGATAAGATGACGGTGAGATTACGGTAAGGTTACGGTAAGCTTACGGATAGAATAGGGCAAGATTACGGTGAGATTACGATAAGATTACGAATAGATTACGGCAAGATTACGACAAGACTTCGATACTTTTAAAACTATTCACAGAAGACGTAATCTTTTGGTTACGGTAGTTTTCAGAGACACAAAATAGCAAAGCAGACTTGATAAATCAGTGAAAAACGCGAAAAAAACGATTTCCTCTAAAATGGCATCAATTTTTGCTAAAAGACACCTGTTTCTCCCACAAAAATTCGCGCTATCCACCTGTCTTTTCATTTCCAATCGAGTTCATTCCATTCGTTTAACTTTTAAGGGAGAAACTTTTGCTGACGAGCCTATCGATTAGATTTTTTATTGCACGAATAAATGGGACAATGAATGAAGGTTATGAATGAAGACTATGAATATGTCATTTATGGATCTTGTGAGTTTGTTTCTTTTGAAAAATCGAAATATGGTCATTTTGCAGAAACTGCTTAGGTTTATCAGGTTTATCTTGAAAAGATTTGAACTAACGATCTGCTAGATTAAAAGTGATAGTACTGATAGTAATAGTATAATAGTACTGACTGATAATATCAATATTAATATCAAATCAATATCAAATCAATATCAATCTCAATATCGTCTATCATTCTACCAAAATCCTGTATCAAAAATTCGAATCCGAACCCAATCCTGCCTTCATTTTCTCGGCTGACTCTTTCCCAATTCCTTTGAAATTATGGCTACAAATAGAAATCGACATCTTCAGCTTGTAGACAAAATTTCAGAGCAATCGGCCAAGAGCAATCGGCCAAGGTTGAGAAAATGAAAGTGGAGTTAGGTTCGGTTTGGAATTTCCTTAATTGTCTACCACAGTACCTATGCCGATACCCTGACACCATGTAGATCTCCTATTACTGTACTGATTCCCTAATCTCACATCGATTCCCCCAGTACTGTCCAATCTCACCAATCCTCTAATACTGTACTGACCTCTAGTACCGTACCAATTATCTAGCATTGCACCAATACCTTTAACACTTCTCAATTCTTACAATAAAGACTGAAAAGATGCTCTATGACCGATTGCCGTTGTTCTGGAACAAAATGAGCTCTAAATCTAGTAATCTATTGGTCTCTCGTAATCGATTGGTCTCTAGCAATACTACAGGGCTTTCAATATTGATAGAGACCAATAGATTACTAGATTTAAAGCTCAAGAACAACTGCAAGTGTTAGAGCATCTTTGCAGTCCTTATTATAAGAATTGATAAGTGTTAAAGGTATTGGTACAGTGCTAGAGAATTGGTACGGTACTAGAGGCCAGTACAGGATTAAATGATTGTTGAGATTGGACAGTACTAGACAGTATTAGAGATCCGTACAGCATTAGATGTTTGGGGAGATTGGACAGTATATTATATATAAATATCGAAAGCCCTGTAGTATTGATTAACCAATAGATTACTAGATTTAAAGCTCATTTTATACAAGAACAACTGCAAGTGTTAGAGCAACTTTGCAGAACTAATTATAATGCCCAATACTGTTCTATGCCCTAGTACTCTACCATCAAAGTAGCGAGTTCTTATCCTCTAGTACTATATCGTTAAAGCCAACTCGTTTTGTACTTTACTTTCAAAAGCAATCTTTCATTGATGAGCCAAAGAAAAAAAATCGTTTCCAGATCGCCTCCTTTTCCTTGCCTTCGAGATCTTCTACCTTGTGCCAATTCTCTATGTCTGCACCCGAGTCACCCATGATACAATTCTCTATTTTGTCCTAGCTTGTACTCTACCAATCCTCGTCTACGATCTTCTCAAAATAGTCAAGAATTTGTTGATGTTTTTCCCGGACTACGAGGAATAGTTGAGTGTTTCTTTGAAACAATTTATTTCTTTCTTTCAGCATTCAACCTGTTTATATCCAAATCGACTACTTCATGCACAATTTGATTCATATGACTTTCGTCATTTGTACAGAGCTTTACTTTTTACACTCGAGTATGGCGAAGTATAAATATGAATGGTTAGTGAGTGAGGGTAAATGGTGAGGTAGATCAAAGCCAAGCCCTAGCCTGAGGGTAAATGGTGAGGTAGATCAAAGCCGAGCCCTAGCCTGGCCTCGTTCAAAAAAACTGCTGGTGAAACACCACTGATTGTCTATTGTCTATTGTTTATTGTCTATTGTCTATTATCTATTGTCTATTGTCTATTTGAATCTAGGCTAGTCTTGATTCCAGTCTATATGATTCTAAAGGTGTATTTCTTTTGTAGTACTTTAGTAAGCCAAGATTGTAGTACTTTAGTAAGCCAAGATTTCCGTATCTACCTTACCTTTACCACCTTCAGGATCCCCTTCGCTGTGACCACCTTTTTCGCGGCTTTCCTCGCCTCTTGCACTTGTTTTATCGATTCGATTATCACCAATCTTTTCATCGTCTTTTTCACCACAATCACTGTGTCAGCTATGGTTATTGTAGGTGAGCTTCTGAACTCTTGACAAATTGAGTTCAGATGGGTTTCTGGCGTCGCATGAAAGCGAAGATCGAGCATCGCCGCTATGTGCCGCATAATAAAAGCGGGGATATCGCACTGTTTTCTGTGTATATCACGACACCCTATACACTAAACGGGTTTCAATTTTGTGAGTTTTGTGACAATAAGTGGACTAGGTTCAAGATCAGGGCAAGACTCAAGTCTTGGACCAGGATAGGCTCAAGTCTTGGACCAGGATGGGCTCAAGTCTTGGACCAGGATGGGCTCAAGTCTTGGACCAGGATGGGCTCAAGTCTTGGACCAAAATAGGCTCAAGTCTTGGACCAGGATTGATTCAAGTCTTGGACCAGGATCGGCTCAAGTTTTGGACCAGGATCAACTCAAGTCTTGGACCAGGGTGGGCTCAAGTCTTGGACTAAGATAGGCTCAAGTCTTGGACCAGGATTAACTTAAGTCTTGGACCAAGATAGGCTCAAGTCTTGGACCAGGATCGGCTCAAGTCTTGGACCAGGGTCAGGCTCAAGTCTTGGACCAAGATCGACTCAAGTCTTGGACTAAGATAGGCTCAAGTCTTGGACCAAGATCGACTCAAGTCTTGGACCAGGATCGACTCAAGTCTTGGACAAAGATAGGCTCAAGTCTTGAATCAGAACCAGAACTGCCTGAAATCACTTTTTCCGCATTCATGTAACATTTTAACTCAACCTAGTTGGGCCAAAAGACCTTGCTCAATCGAATTTAAACTCTAGACTTGTGTACAATTGCATAAGACAAGAAATAAGTGGCAAAATGTACAACTAGCGTTATATTTTTGAGTATCGATGCTCAGATCAACGATTGCAAGCCAATTTTTAGTGCTTTCATTTGTCTCAATTCTCGCTCGAGCCAAAGCCGATTCCGCCTCGGATTCGCATCTCTGGGACGAGTCGGTTCACGCGTACGCCTCTTATTTGATGCAATTTCGCCCACTCGCCATTATGAGCCCGATCTTTTGGTGGATACCACATTTTCGGTAAACATTTAGAGATAGCTAATGGTTGAAAATATTAAGATTTATGTAAAGTAAAGAAGATTGGCTTCGATCTTTTCATCTTTGAGTTTTCCATTGAGCCAACTCAAAGACCAAAAGATCTAAGCCTTAATCTCTAGGATAGAAAAGTTTGGACTTGAAAATTAGCAATTAAATAAGCAAAATTTGGAGCTAAATCTCAATCCAGCTTCAGTTTTTCAAAGGTAAAGCTAAAGTTAAAGCTTCTGAAGCTTAGAAGCAATCCAAATCCAAATCCAAATCTAAATCTAATCTAGTTTTATCTTTCTCATTTAATTTCAGTGATCATTGGTTCACCATTCTGCGTCGTTTACGCCCGAAGAAGTTAGACGAATTGAAAGCAGCTGTCGAGAAAGCGAAAGACGATAAACGGCCACACATCCGAATGGTCGCATTAGCTTTTCACGCTTTCAAATAACGATCAGTATTTGTAACAAATGTTTTTTTGTCCTTGTTCTTATGGGTTCATCTAGATGTTTACTCCTAGATGACTACGTGTTTACTTTTCTTGTGTTCATAAACAATTTCTGGTAACTCGTTCAACAATTCATTTGCCAGGAATGCTTTAACCAGGCTTTAACCTGGCTTTAGAACTATAAGCCAGATCCAGGTAAGAAGATAGGTTCAGGTCAGGTCAGAAGTGATCTAGCCTAGAAGGAGAAGTTCAGCGGAGGGCAGTTCAGAAGTGATCTAGGCCTAAACCAGAAGTTTAGGGCAGGCTAGGTCAGAAGTGATCTAGCCTAGAGGAGAAGTTCAGGGGAGGCCAGGTCAGAAGTGATCTAGCCTAAAGGAGAAGTTCAACGGAGGCCAGGTCAGAGTGATCTAGTTTAAACCAGAAGTTCAGGGTAGACCAGGTCAGAAGTGATCTAGCCTGAACGAGAAGTTTAGCGGAGGGCAGGTCAGAGGTGATCTAGATCTAGCTAGGTCCAAATCCTGATAGATCATTTAAATCCTGATAGATCAGATATTTTTTGTTGGCCAGATATGCAATAAATCAGGCTAAATCTTCGATTTACACATTAAAATTCGACAAGCGAGTATTGGGATTTGTACAAAGCGTTGAAAGTGACCTTGTGACGGATTGCAATAGGGAAGAATGGAAGAATGGAAGGATGGGAGAATGGGAGAAGAATGGGGCAATTTGCGAGTCGATTACTCTTTTCCCACCAAACAACAACACGAACAAAACTTTGATTGTCTCTTTTTTTCATGAAATTGCCTCAATTATTGCTAGTCTTTCAACTCAAAATTGTAAATATTCATAAATTATATTATAACTCATAAATTAACGCCTTCTATTAGTTGATTCTAGCTTTTTGGACTTTTTTTTGAATCAAGTATGGGAAAATGAAGGATTTGAAGGATTTTTGAGTCGGTTGTGTCAACAAAAGAATGGAAGATCGATGGATTTTCGGTGTGAGAAACTTTAAAACTTGAACTCTTTAAGTCTAAAGTTTTTGTAAAGCAATTGATGCTGAAATTTTGTAATTGATTATCATTAAACGATATCTTTTTTTCCCATTCGATAAGTTTAACTGTAACTTTGTTATTAAAAGTTACTTTCTCTGTTAGAGCTGATTGCATTTGCTTTTAATTTGCTTTAATTAGCTTTTTATTAGCTTTAATTTGCTTTAATTTGCTTTTAATTAGCTTTTTATTAGCTTTAATTAGCTTTAATTTGCTTTAATTAGCTTTAATTTGCTTTAATTTGCTTTAATTTGCTTTAATTTGCTTTAATTTGCTTTAATTTGCTTTTAATTAGCTTTTTATTAGCTTTAATTTGCTTTAATTTGCCTTAATTTGCTTTAATTAGCTTTAATTAGCTTTAATTTGCTTTAATTTGCTTTTAATTAGCTTTAATTTGCTTTAATTAGCTTTAATTTGCTTTAATTAGCTTTAATTTGCTTTAATTTGCTTTAATTTGCTTTAATTTGCTTTAATTTGCTTTAATTTGCTTTTAATTAGCTTTTTATTAGCTTTAATTTGCTTTAATTAGCTTTAATTTGCTTTAATTTGCTTTAATTTGCTTTAATTTGCTTTAATTAGCTTTAATTTTCTTTTAATTAGCTTTAATTTGCTTTAATTTGCTTTTAATCTATCATAATCTTTAATTTTTCTATTTTAATCGGAGGTGGGACAAATGCGACCTTTTTTTGCGCACCTGGACATTTGCGCACCTCTTTTTTGCTGGAAAAGGCCTTAGGAAAGGTCGTAGAGCTTCAAAAATGTTTTCATAGAAGGGAATCGTATGCGTAGGTGCAGAATTTTGACAAATCAGACCTCGCTGACACGTCAAATTTGGGCTAAAAGGCAAAAACTACGCAACTTCACGTTTTTCCGCAGTCCAGGCCTTTTCCAGCAAAAAAAGGTGCGCAAATGTCCAGGTGCGCAAAAAAAAGGTCGCATTTGTCCCACCCCCATTTTATTCTGATTAGTCTGATTTAGATATGAAAAGTAGATAAACTGGATAAAAATAGAGTCAAAAGTTGACACTTTTTAACTTTTTAACTTTTAACATATATAAATACTTTATTTAGGAAGAAATAAAGTGCAAAAGTACAAGTACAATGTACAAGTATAAGATAAAAGATCACAAAGTCACTTAAAATGCAACGAAGTAGCCCGTTTTAAAAGCAGACACGGTGGAAATCAAACGAAACTTGTCGGGGAAGGGCATTCCAAACTTTAATCACACGATTTACAAAAAAAAAAGCTCTAGAGGATTTAGAGAAAGCAGATTCGGGATGCAAGATAAAAGAGCCAAGCCAATAGTCGCCAAAAGCCTCAAGTTTAGGCAAAAAATTTTTTAAAAAGAGGGTTTTGATGTTTTCCTTTTACAATTTTAAAGCACTCAACCAAATCTATGATAAGACTGTTCTAAGGTTTCAAATGAGAAAAGTTTCACTCTATGTTTATACCTGACGGGCGAGTAATTAGCAAAATCAAACTAGAATGCTTTGGACCCGTAATCGAAAGGTTTGGCGATTCAGCTAAACGATCTAGATAGGAGATTGTTTGCTAAGACAGGCTTGGCCCAGGTCCGGACAGATCCAGACCTGGTCCAGGTCCGGACAGATCCAGGCCTGGTCCAGGTCCAGACAGATCCAGGCCTGGCCCAGGTCCAGACAGATCCAGGCCTGGAGCTAAGGTCTTAAACTCAGATCAAAAGCTAGGCAAGAACCTTGGTTCATGTTTTGGTTTGTAAAATTGTTTCTGTAACAACCCTAGCACTAGAGATCTTTTGTTGAAGAAAGAGCTAACTGGGGATCGAACCAGAATGCTTTGGAACCGTAATGGAAAGCTATGGACCCGTAATCGAAAGCTTTGGCGCACCACGTCGCTAGCTAGCTCCGTTGCGAAAAATGAACTCAAGTAAGAAGGCTTGAAACTTGTAACCAAAATATCTCGAGTTACAGGCCTCAAGGATAAAAACTGAAAACGGATTTGGAATCAGCGTAGTCGATTGTAGAAGATGGAGTTGATCTCGTTTTTGGAAGGCACTTAGCAACGTTCCCTAGTGAGGCTTAGCTGTTTTAACGGCGCTGAAATGCTGGATATTTTTAAAGAATAGTGCTACTCGAGTAATATCTTAGATAAATGAATCTTAAAACACCTTTTACAACACAAGAAATCCATTTTTTTTCACCTTTGGAGTTGCCAAGTAACGCAGTAATCAAGCGAAAGAAGAAATCCTCAAGAGATCATTTCCAAATCCGACATTTTCCCACGGAGATGCGCTTGATTTCGTCAAAAATAGTCAAAAATAGGAAAATTCTTTTGTAAAACTATAGAATTATCCAGATTTTCGAAAAAATTGGATAGAATTTGATGGAAAATTGGTGAGAGACTCTCACAAAGATGCGCAATTTCTATAAGAATCGCTGTCACTTATAAGAGAAAGAATTTGCTCACAAATTTCTCTAATCTTTTAAAATTTTATACTTTTACAAAAGCATTTTTAAAAGATTTGTTAAAAATTGTTTTAGAAATGGGAAATGGAAAGTAAACAAGGTCAATCTTAGGTAAAAAGCCAGGTTTTAAATGCTAGATTTCTGGCTTTCAGCTTACCTTTCCTGGCTTTGATCTTATCTTTCCTGGCTTTCAGCTTACTTTTCCTGGCTTTCAGCTTACTTTTCCTGGCTTTCAGCTTACTTTTCCTGGCTTTCATCTTACCTTTTCTGGCTTTCATCTTACCTTTCCTGGCTTTCAGCTTACTTTTCCTGGCTTTCAGCTTACTTTTCCTGGCTTTCATCTTACCTTTTCTGGCTTTCATCTTACCTTTCCTGGCTTTCAGCTTACTTTTCCTGGCTTTCAGCTTACTTTTCCTGGCTTTCATCTTACCTTTTCTGGCTTTCATCTTACCTTTCCTGGCTTTCAGCTTACTTTTCCTGGCTTTCAGCTTACTTTTCCTGGCTTTCATCTTACCTTTTCTGGCTTTCATCTTACCTTTCCTGGCTTTCAGCTTACTTTTCCTGGCTTTCAGCTTACTTTTCCTGGCTTTCATCTTACCTTTTCTGGCTTTCATCTTACCTTTCCTGGCTTTCAGCTTACTTTTCCTGGCTTTCAGCTTACTTTTCCTGGCTTTCAGCTTACTTTTCCTGGCTTTCAGCTTACTTTTCCTGGCTTTCATCTTACCTTTTCTGGCTTTCATCTTACCTTTCCTGGCTTTCAGCTTACTTTTCCTGGCTTTCAGCTTACTTTTCCTGGCTTTCAGCTTACTTTTCCTGGCTTTCAGCTTACTTTTCCTGGCTTTCAGCTTACTTTTCCTGGCTTTCATCTTACCTTTTCTGGCTTTCATCTTACCTTTCCTGGCTTTCAGCTTACTTTTCCTGGCTTTCATCTTACCTTTTCTGGCTTTCATCTTATCTTTCCTGGCTTTCAGCTTACTTTTCCTGGCTTTCAGCTTACTTTTCCTGGTTTTGATCTTACCTTTCCTGGCTTTCATCTTTCATCTTACCTTTCCTGGCTTTCATCTTACCTTTCCTGGCCTAGCTTCTAGAAATCTCTGCTTCTGTGAAAGTGCTTGAATAATTCCGGATTTAGTTACACTTTTCAAGCTTTTAAATTACATTTAAATGCTGAATTTTAATGTAAATTTGTACAATATGTGCAAATTGTGATCAATTGATGATCGAAGAGATTAAAAGCAAACAATGCAATTAGCAGTAGTAGTAGTAGTTGCTAGCAGTTGCTAATAGTTGCTAGTAGTTGCTAGTAGTTGCTAGTAGTTGCTAGTAGTAGTCGTAGTTGCTTTAAAAAAGCCGGATCATGAAGCGAACCGTGATCCTGTTGGTGGAAGCCTAATCAGCTAACGATTAGGCCATTGACGTAGCTGTTCTCGGCTAGAAAAAAAAGCCTTGTAAAGCATCCGTTCGTTCGTTTAAAGCATTCGTTCGTCAAATTTTCGATTAAAATTTTTCCCCAGGAAGGTCATTTGGGAGATTTTGATTTTAGAATTTCGAATTTCGTGAGTTTTAGGTTTTGAAAAGCTGTATCTCTAGTTTAAGAATCGCTACGAAATCGAAATCGAATCAAAAATCTCTTTCAAAACTTCAAATTTCTCAATCCATTCATCAGAATTCCCTAATCCTTTCATCAACAATGAGTCAACAATGAGTTTGAGCAAAAATCTACTGTATGATTCAATGGATGAGTCACAAAAGTTCACAAAGTTTTCCTACTGTACTATCTTTGCTCAATCTTATGAAAGGGATTTTATATTGAAGTGTGTGTAAGTGTTGAAGAGAAAGTGGAGGAAATCTTGGCACTTTGTGAGCAAATATTTCTTAGTGGGGTGGGGGTTGAAGTGAGGATTTAGTTGGGTGAATGGAAATGCGGGAATGGGGGAATGGGCGGGGTTTTGACCAAAGGGTTCCTCCAATCGACCCCTTTTTCCTTTTTCTTTCTTTCATTTTGCCCATAAACTTTTCCCAATCAATAGTAAATGTTTATTTTAACTTATTTTTTTGATATTTTCTTTGATTGGATGGCTTGGGATGGCTTGGGATGGCTTTTGGATGGCTTTGAATGGCTTGGGATGGCTTGGGATGGCTTTGAATGACTTTTGGATGGCTTTGGATGGCTTGGGATGGCTTGGGATGGCTTTGAATGTCTTTTGGATGGCTTTGGATGGCTTTGGATGGCTTTGGATGGTTTGGGATGGCTTGGGATGGCTTTGAATGACTTTTGGATGGCTTTGGATGGCTTTGGATGGCTTTTGGATGATCTTGGAGCTGGTACTTGACCAAGTACTGGATTTATGACAGGATTATGCGCATGCTAGATCAGCAGGCCAGAGATTTCTATTACCATTGTAGAATATTAAGAATATTAAGAGAATATCCAAAATGCTACTTGTTATTTATCTGTTCAAATTCAAAATGTATACAATTTTTCTTAAAATGCTGAGCTCTGCAAATGCCAGGGTTATCGGCAATGCTAATCTTCTTCTGTCTTCTGTCCAATTAATATCCAAATTTTCTATTCCATATTTATTTCTATTTAATCTTATTCTATAAAACTTAGTTTCAGAAATATATCCCTCAAATATTTCCTCAAAATCTTAATCGAAAATATTGTTGTTGTAAACGAGAAATCGTTTTCCCTTGGCTCAGAATTGAATTGATTTGATGGAAAGGGATGATGAGAAGAAAGCAAAAAGAAAAAAGATATTTTGATTCATTGAAATGACTCCTCACTTGCTCACATCCTAACAGATGACTCAACGAAAGCTATTTGTGATATTTTTGGAGAAATGGGAGCGCATCGATTTGGACCTTTGATAAGGAAAGCCCGAGGGGGAAAGAGAGGGAAAGCAAAAAGAAGCAAATGAAGAACAGTACTATATTTTTTGAGCTCTAAACTTTAAACTTTCAGATCATTTTTGATACTTTAACTTTCCATTGAACACTTTTGAATCTTTTGAATTGAAATAGTTTGATCGATCGAATAGTAGAAAGCTCATTCACTCAGCATCAAAAATGCAACATCAAGAATGCTAACAAAGCCAAAAGTCATTCATTCATTCATTCATTCTCGATTTCTTTTAAACGACTTTCTTATATCTCTAAAATTTGATAATATTTTTCTTTCTATTAGAGATTTTTTTCCGATTTATGCAATAGGAAATAGGGAAAATTCATTTCTCGTTAAGGAAAGCTGTTAAGGAAAGCTGTTAAGGAAACCTGTTAAGGAAAGCTGTTAAGAAAAGCTGTTAAGGAAACCTGTTAAGGAAACCTGTTAAAGATAGCTGTTAAGGAAAGCTGTTAAGAAAAGCTGTTAAGGAAAGCTGTTAAGGAAAGCTGTTAAGGAAAGCTGTTAAGGAAAGCTGTTAAGAAAAGCTGTTAAGGAAAGCTGTTAAGGAAAGCTGTTAAGGAAAGCTGTTAAGGAAAGCTGTTAAGGAAAGCTGTTAGGGAAACCTGTTAAGGAAACCAGAGCACAAAAAAAAGCTAGAAAACTTTTGAAAAGGAAATGTTTTTGGTAAGATTTGCTGAATAGTTTCAATCAATATCTAGAAAGCTCTATAGATCCATATGGGCTTAAAAAATATCCAGCATTTATCCAGCAAACAGCTAAGCCTCATTAGGGAATGTCGCAAAGTGCCTTTCAAAACGAGATCAACTCCATTTTATACAATCGACTACGCTGATTCCAAATTCGTTTTCAGTTTTTATCTTTGAGGCCTGTAACTCGAGATATTTTAGTTACAAGTTTTAAGCCTTCTTACTTGAGTTCTTTTTTAGCAACGGAGCTAGCTAGCGACGTGGTGCGCCAAAGCTTTCGATTACGGGTCCATAGCTTTCCATTACGGTTCCAAAGCATTCTGGTTCGATCCCCAGTTAGCTCTTTCTTCAACAAAAGATCTCTAGTGCTAGGGTTGTTACAGAAACAATTTTACAAACCAAAAAATGAACCAAGGTTCTTGCCTAGCTTTTGATCTGAGTTTAAAACCTTAGCTCCAGGCCTGGATCTGTCTGGACCTGTCTGGACCTGGACCAGGCCTGGATCTGTCTGGACCTAGGCCAGGCCTGTCTTATCAAACAATGTCCTATCTAGATCGTTTAGCTGAATATTCTTTACAAATAACATCCCTTTATTCTTCCTTCAATTCAATTTCATTCCACTGAATATTTAAACGAGTCAAATAGCCAAAAAGGGCATTGTTTGCCTCTCAAAAGAGGAGACTCAGGTGCGCTATCGTTGCGCGGATCGCTTGGGTAAATTTCGTCCTCAATTTCTTCTTTTTTTTTCCAGAGAAAGATCAAAAAGAATTCTCAATTTTCTTCTTTTTTCTCTCTTTTCTATCGATCTATCTTGTTGTGGTGGCTCACATAAAAGCTCCGCCCATTTTTCCCCTCAAAAGATCCGATCACTTTCGATCAGAGTTTTCCTCTAGTTCTTCCACGAAATTTGCTCATTTTCTTTATGAATTTCTTCAAGGGCCAATCGAACACACTGAATTCACTCCGGGACATTCGTGAACGGGACTATCCGCTCCCACAAACAACTCCGAAGACTCACCTAGTGCAAGAGTGAGTTAAACTTTAGAATAAACTTCTCAAAGCAATTCAAACATAGACAAAAACCGAGTTTTTCTTTAGTTCTTTAGTTCTTCTTTCTCAAGCATACAGCTCTGAATCACTTTAATCTATCTTTCGATCTCTAATCTATCAATCTATCAGTATGGTAGCTCGATTCCAATGAGTCACCCAAAGATTTCATCAAAGTTTTCCTATTGACGTCAACCAAAATAGATCGAAAAGATTAGATGAAAGAGAAGTCTTCGTTTTCACCTGTTTCCAAAGAATTGGTTTTTTGGAACTTGAAACTTATTTGGATGGATAGTTAGACGCGTTGGTCCTTTATGGCTAGAAATGCAAAAGGTTGGTGCTGGGATTCGAACCCAGCCACCTGTCGCTTACCTTTCGCTTATCAGATGAGCACTTTACCTATGAGCTAGGCCCAGGCATGCCTCGCATGCCAAAATAGGGCCCTTAATTCATGGTTGAGTTCTTTCTTTACAAAGGGTCTTCCCGGGTCAAGCTAGAAGCCAAATTCTAGATCTGGCTGCTTGGCTCTTGGCTGGCTTGGCCTGGTTTTGCTTTGACTCTAGAACCCTAGAGCCCTAGAGCCCTAGAGTCCTAGAAACCTAGAGCCCTAGAACCCTAGAACCCTAGAGTCCTAGAAACCTAGAGCTCTAGAACCCTAGAAACCTAGAGCCCTAGAACCCTAGAGTCCTGGAAACCTAGAGCCCTAGAACCCTAGAAACCTCGAACCCTAGGACATCTCTGGAATTGCTGAAAACTTTTGATAGCCACTTTTGATAGCCTTTGGTTCAATTCCTGGCCTGAGAATAGCTGAGGTCTGTTAAAAATTATCTTTATACAAGCTTTGACTTGTTAATGTTTTTTTGAATCGATAAGTGTATGCTTTTGTGGTGAAAGGGAAGGGGGAGAGGGGTGTCCGGGCATCTGGCCTTCTCCCCGCTCATCGCTCATCTTTCATCATCACTTGCCAGTCCAAGAACAAAAGCATCTTTCCCCAAATCGACACTGATGATCCCTTTATTCTCCCCACACTTATTTTTTATTTCTTTTACTTAAAAATTGTCTAATCTTTAAGGTTTCTCTGTAAAAAAGATGTCATTTTGTGTTTTAGATTTGTCGAAAATTAAAAGTGTTGGCTTTAACGAATGGTTTTAACTCAAATCAACTTTAAACTATCTTTTATCTTTAAGAATCTTTTATTTTTAAGCTTTAAATCTTTTAAGCTCTTTAAATAGGGATCTAAAAGCTTTTAAAAAAGTAGATAACTTTATCTAGAGACAAAGTACCTTTTCTAGAGTCTCTCTATCTCATCTACTGTACTATTGTAATGTAATTTGTATGTACTATTTATGTACTATCTATGTACTATGCATGTACTATGTAATTTATCTAAACAAAATCCTTTTTCTAGAGTCTCTCCATCTCATCTTCACTCATCTCCTTCGAAATCTCCATCCTCACAAATGGCCTTCAACCATGTGGATGTTGAGACAATTCTTGAGGATTATGCATGGGCTCAATTCAAGGACGTTCAGGTAAAAAAAAAGATCTATTTCTCTTTGGAGATGATAAAGAAAGATTTCTGGAGAAGAATTTCTGGAGAAGAATTGAAGAATTGAACCATTCATTTCTTTCCTTTAAGATGATTTAACCACTGATCTATCTAGTATCTTTATGATAGAGGACAAAGGAAATACTTTTTAGAGTCTTCGCAAGACGCGACTTGAAGATTTTAAGGGAATCGAGAAGGACGATGTGGAATTTGTTGTGGTTTGTTTTTGAGGAGAAACCTTTAAAAGGAAAACCTGAAGCTAGACAAGAATAATGAGATGATCTTGAATCAATCAAGCAGTCCAGTTGTTCAAGGGCTATGGATCAATGGATCAATTGAAGAACACATGTTTGGGGGAATGGGACTTGATTTTAACAGCTTGTTGTCAAAGAATGAATGAACTTTCTTGCTTTCTTGCTATCTTTTAGAAACAATCCAAGCTCATAGCTAGCTTTGTGTTTTGAAGCTTTCAAAGCAAGTTGAAACCATTGAAACCATTGAAACTGAAGCTTTTAAAATCTTGAGCTCTAGAAAACTTGGAAAGCTTGAAGTTCAGCAAACTTGAAGCTTGAAGCAAACAAAGCTTGAAGTTCTTCAAAGTTACAGGAACATTACTTTTGCTAATTTGTGACTTGTTTTTCATTCTATAAGATTTGAGCTTAATACTTAAGTAGATCGATTTGAATTCCAGAACACTCTCTTTCTAAGCCTCCCCCATTAGCATAAGTAATTCGATCTATGCGCTCATTCCATCCCGCATTATGCCCACATTATGCCCACATTATATGGGGCGTCAATTGGTTAGAGAAGAGACTAAAAGAAAATGGATTCTTGGGGGATTTCGAGTGCGCAAAGTGTGTGTGTGTGTGTTGAGGCCTCTGTTTGTCGTCCTGTCAACACTCCCAACGACTCGAAATAGGAAAGGAATGAGAGCTGGGGGAAATGGGATTTCTTTTGGCAATAAGCGACAAACAGGTGGCAATAGTTGAGGCGCTGTTGTGGCGTCGATTAGTTTGCGGCAATAAACAGATGGAATTCTCGTGGAACTAGAGCTAAAAAAGTTTTGTCTCATTTCTAAACAGTAAATCAGGTTATTTACTAGTTAAAAAGCTTTTCCACTAAATACTTTTCGTACTTTCGTAAGTTCGTTAAAAAAAATAACAAATTCACGAATTAACCTATGAGTTTGTACAAAGACTAAACTAGCTTTTTATTTAAGAATTCCAGTTTGAAAATAAATCTATAGAAATCTATAGAATCTATTAGTTGAAAGCTTTCAAAGAACGGAATTCCTATTGGACTATATTCCTATTGGAGTCACTCAGAAACTTGAGCTTTTTAAAGCATGAAAGCTCTTGAGTAGCTTTATCTAGACTTCGCTAAGCTTTGTCTTGAGTAGCTTTGTCTAGATTGCCTTAAGCCGCTTTGTCTAGACTGCCTTAAGCTTTGCCTTGAGTAGCTTTGTCTTAAGCCGCTTTGTCTAGACTGCCTTAAGCTTTGTCTTAAGCCGCTTTGTCTAGATTGCCTTAAGCTTTGCCTTGAGTAGCTTCCTCTAGACTGCCTTAAGCTTTGCTTTCAATAGCCTTGCTTAAATTTTCTGATCAGACTGGATTACGATAGAAAATATAAAAAAACTACTACCAATGCTAGAACATTCAGCTAATCTGTGATTTCTATTTGGCTACCGCTAGCAGCTACAAACTACCGCTAAGCAAGCTGATTGTTAGTAGCTTTGATAGCCATTAGTCTAAACCACTGCCAAATCTACACTTTTTCTCCCAAAGACATTACATTTCTTAACCAAAAATCGTCTATCAATATTTCGAAGATCTTTCCACCCGCTCACCTTCCGATTAATCCTATTTGAACGGGGCCTTTGAACATGAAAGGAAAAAAGGGGAAGAGGTGAGTGTTTAGACCGATCTCTTTCCTCGGTTCTCTCCCAATTTATTCGTGTCGAACCTATGCATTGATTCATTTGCAAACAGTAATGTGCAAGGGATTTGTTGACTTTCAAGACTTCAAGATGAGACTAATAAAAGTTTAGATTTAGAAGTTGAACCTAAAGCTTTTTAGTGGTCTCAAAGTCGAATGTAAAGCAAAAATTTGCTTTATCTCAAATTTAAATGATAATTGAATACATTGCTGATGCTTTTAAATGCTTTTAAATGCTTTTTACATGCTTTTAAATGCTTTTAAATGCTTTTAAATGCTTTTAAATGCTTTTAAATGCTTTTAAATGCTTTTAAATGCTTTTAAATGCTTTTAAATGCTTTTAAATGCTTTTAAATGCTTTTAAATGCTTTTAAATGCTTTTAAATGCTTTTAAATGCTTTTAAATGCTTTTAAATGCTTTTAAATACAATATTGAATATTGAATCTTATTGAAAGAGATCATATTGAATATATTAAATATTGAGATATTGAATCTTAAAGTATTTTTTAAGTGATATTCAAGTCAAATAAAAATTGAAAACTTCATATGACTATTTTTATCGAAATTGATTGCTTTATAGAGTGAATTCATTTAAGCTTTCCCCTTTTCGCATTTCGATTTTCTATAGTTCTATAGAATCGAATTGAAAACACATTGAATAGATCGAAGCGCGGAAGATGAGTCACACCATTCAACAAAAGTTTGGGGAAAGGGGAATGAGTGCCACTTTGCTCCAGCATTACTGGATTGTTACTCAATCGCTTTAATCGCTTAGTAGGGGAGGAAATGGGGGATTTGTTTGTTTGTTTGTTTGTTGAAAGATTTCACAAGTAAACAATGTAACTTTTCTCAGAGAAAGCTCATCAATTAAAGTGTTTAGATAAAAATCACAAGAAAAAATGACGTAAATTAAGATTTTTGAAATGTAAACTGTAAGTTTTGTAAGTCACAGGGCACAAATTAGCAAAAGTAATGTTCCAGTAACTTTAGCAAACTTGCAAAGCTTGAAGTTTTGAGCTTGAGTTCAAGCTTTTGAAAGCTTCAGTTCAAGATTTTGAAAGCTTCAGTTTCAATGGTTTCAATTTGCTTTCAAAACTTCAAAACAAAAAGCCAGCTATGAGCTTGGATTGTTCTAAAGGATAGCAAGAAAGCAAGAAAGCAAGAAAGTTCATTCATTCTTTGACAACAAACTGTTAAAATCTAGTCCCAGTTCCCCAAACATGTGTTCTTCAATTGATCCATTGATCTATAGCCCTAAACTCAAGCTTTTTTTTTAAGTTTATGAAGTAAAAGATAGGAAAATTTGGATTTGTGTGGAGAAAAGTGTAAAATGTGCAAATATTATTAGCTATCGCATAGATATTATTAGCTAAGTTCTTTAAAAAAGGACAAAAGGAGCATAACTGTTCGCTAGTCATCAGGAATGTCCGAATCCGGATCCGGATCTCTACACAAACATATAAAGGACGAAACGACGACTATGCGACACTCCAATAGACAGCTCATAGTACTGTCGCGTAGTCATCTTTTTGTTCTTTTTGTGCTTGCGTAGTGCGGAAATTTATGCTTGCGTAGAAGACGGAAATCTCTGCTTTGCAAGTGGTTGAACAATCCTTTCTTCAGCTTCAACTAAGTTCTTATCTAATTCTAGAACTTCAAAAGTTTAGAACAAAATCGAAATCTAGATGCTGACACTTTTGTCGACTTTTTCTTTTCTGTTGAGTAGAATTGAAAACGGGGAAAGGGTGGGAAGAGGCTGAAAGATGATACACCACCCCGCCAAGAACACTTACAACCACTATATAACGGGATATTGATTTGGGGAAAGGAAATTCTTAGCTTAACAGCTTCTTAGCTTAACAAGTAAATGACAAAGAATCCAAAGCATGTAATCCAAAGTATTCAATCCAAAGCATGCAATTCAAAGCATGTAATTCAAAGCATGCAATTCAAAGCATGCAATTCAAAGCATGCAATTCAAAGCATGCAATTCAAACCTTTCAAAACTTAAGCTATCTTCAAAACCTATCTTCAAGGAAAATCTTCGCTTGTTGTGAAAATTTTGACTTATCCCGTTAAGTCTATCATTTCAGTTTACCCAGCAAGTGTCCAGGGGAGAGGCAATTATGTGAATGGATGCATTAGTGAGGGAAAAGAGATAGGCCAATGGTGAATCCCTTGAGGATCAACTAGGATAGAAAAGGAAAGAGAATGGGCCATTTCGGGGGGAGAATCGACTCCCTTTCCCTCCTTTCAAATGACCATCAGTGCAAGGGGGGATCTGAGAATTAGGTTTGCACTTTTCTTTAAGGAAATGTTATTGCATTGGTCAAAAAAAAAATTGGGAAACCAGTTGTACAAGGTTGTACGATCAAATAATCTCAATCTGAATCGAAATCTAATCCATTCATAAGACAAATGTTATTGAATAACCTTACGACTTAAAGAATACATTTAGATTTATTCAAACGAATAATGTGATAAATAATACACAAGCGCAATTCCTAAAGAACAAGAACAAGCAAAAAAAGGATCAAAAAAAAAAGAACGTATAATCTAGCCAGTGGGGTTGAATCGACCGGCTCCCGAATAACTAGGAAAAGGCATGAACTTACTGTGGCCTTTCGCTATGAAACCGACTCCATCTTATAGATTCAACTATGGGGATTCCGAATCTGCTCTTAGTTTTTGCAGAGGACTTCGGAAACGTGAGATATTCAGCATACAAGATTTTTTTTCTATAAAAGGCATCTTTTCCATCTGCTAAATGGATAGCGGGCTAGAATGGTGGCCGAATGGATAGCAGGCTAGAATGCAAGACAACCTATGCACTTTTTGCCGTAGATTCGACTCCCCTTGACGATTTCCTGTCGAACTCAACCTAAAAATCAAGGGAAAGTACCCGTCTTGAACTCCAGGCTCCACTCGGCCATCAGTCCGCATTTAGCAGTTGAGAAAGATGTCTTTTATAGGGATGCCAAAATCTTGTATGCTAAATATCTCGCGTTTCCGAAGTCCTCTGCAAAAACTAAGAGCAGATTCGGAATCTCCATAGTCAAATCTATAAGATGGAGTCGTTTCCATAGCGTTCACAGTAAGTTCATGCCTTTCCCTAGTAAGGTACAGGGTTCTTAGTGAGTCGGCCATGGCGACTATGACGATCTTACATTGAAAATGGCTTTTAGAACCGGAAAAACCTCGTCGTCGTCCATGAGGATCCAGAGTATGTGAATTTCCTTCCATCCGGCGCTAAACCTTTCACCCTCTTCAAATCGATCTTCACGAATAACACGAATCGACCACAAGAGTATTCGTTTAAGGTAAAGATTTGAAGTTTAGCTGAATATCTTTTATCTAGACTGAGCGAACCACTGAATCTTTGTGCGCTGTGGCTAGAGAGCAGGGATACACGATTGGAGCTGAGGCTGAGTTGACTCTGAAGACACCATGTGGGTTTTGAAGTGCTATTTTTAGTACAATTACTATTGTAACTTTAATAATTAGACTTTGATTTATCCATCTTTTAGATAAATAGATTCATTTTATAAAATAAGAATATCTGTTTTCGCAAAAGAATCCCGGTATTAAATTGTTTGACTTTGAGTGTACTTTGTGCTCTAGACATACCATTTCTGGCTCATTGAATTCTTCATAATTCTTTTATTCCATTGATATAGTCATTCCTTTGAGAAAGTGAAGAATTGAGTGCACCAGAAGGAGTATGTTTAGTCAAATTTGAGCTAAAAGTACACCCAAAAGTACCAAAAGTGACTTGAAGAGTACTTTGCTCAAAAATGACTAAACACATCCTCTCTGGCGCACTGAATTCTTCATTTTCTCGATGGAATCAAGATATTGGTATGAGAAAATGAAAGAACTAGCGAGCTAGAAGAGGTTTGTTTACATTTTTGGCACAGAGTACATGAAAAGTTGAAGACCTTGATTCTAGGATTCTTTCAATGCCCGACCTTCATCTCAAATTTTGTTCTCAAATCAATCGGCGCTACTTGATGCCTCTTTTCTTTCAAAGTCCTTTCAAAGTACCACCTGAGTCTTTCTATTCTTTTGATTCATCTCTTCTTTTCATCTTTTCCCTCCTTAACCTTCCCCTCAATTGATCTCCAGCTGTGGAGTAAAGGAAAGAAAGGAAAGGAAAGGAAAGGAAAGGAAAGGAAAGGAGAAGGAAAGGAAAGGAAAGACAGTTTTGCCGGGAAGATTTTGTCAAGAATATGGAATACCAATGGGAACTTTTGAATAAAAGACGAAAAAGTTCTTCTTACTTTTTCTAGTTTCTAAAAGAAAATTCTTCTTATTTTTTCTAGTTCTAGTTCATTTTCTCTTCTTTCTAAAAAGAACTCTAACAACTCTTTTCTAAAAAGTTGATCGATAGACTTGGTTCTTTTCTTTTCCAGTAACAATTATGGGTATTCGGAGGGGAAACTCAGAGAAAAGAAGAAAAGATTTATGCGTTTTCGTTGAGTTCGATTCGCAATTTGCTCGGGAATCGGAGAATTTGCTAAAAAAAGAAAAAAATAGGATAAAGCTAAAGCTAAAGGCTAAAGCTAAAGGCTAAAGCTAAAGGCTAAAGCTAAAGGCTAAAGCTAAAGGCTAAAGAAAAACAAAGTGAAATTCTAGGTGAAATTGCTGAGTTGAAAGCCGGATTCAAGCACGAGATGCACTTTAATAACTTGAATGAAAACGCGATCACTGAAACGCTCGCCTGGGCTGTGGATAGTAATGTTTCGGTAAGAAATCGAAATCGAAAAAAAGTATTGAAAAATGTGCATAAAATAAAGCACGAGATGCATAAAACACAACTCTATTAACTCTAAAGCAAGCAGTGTATAAAATTCCATCCTATTATTCATCTATTACATCTATTGCAAACAGTTTTTTTATAAAAGTAAGGAAATTTTGACGAGAGAGAGGGACTAGAGCTTGGGGGACAAAAATGAAATAAGATCGGTAGTCTAGCAGACAATCCACTAGTCCACAAGGTATTATTTCATTTGAGGTGCCACCCGGCTACCAAACAGAAGCCTCGATCATCATTGAGGAGATGAACTATCGTGGCTCGTACACAGTGATGTCTCGACTATCCGGAAATGTTTTGATCTCAATTAGAAGGTGGGTTACAAAGTTTAGAATATTCTAGAATGTTTCCTTTTCATTTATACATTTTCTAAAAGGTATTAATCGTAATTAAACCAATCACTCATTAACGTACGTACGTAATTAAACCAACCAGCCAACCACCAACCAACATTAAACCAACCAGCCAACCACCAACCAACATTAAACCAACCAGCCAACCACCAATCAACATTAAACCAACCACTGATTGGTTTCCAATCAATCAGCCAAATTTTTGTATCAACTTAACCTTGTGATTCGTTATCGAATTTCAAAATTTACTCATTGAATTTAAAGTAGCGATTCGAATTTGTCTAAAATTGATCCCTTTCTAGAAAATGTATCAATTAAGGTAGAGGAAATTTGAATAAAAACAAAAATCATAAGCAATTGATAGCAAGTCTTTTTGGGCTAAAGTTTGAGAACGAAAACGATCATCATTGATTCTAGCCATTCTGGTAGATCTGTACGGACAGTAGATCATCGATCACATAGATTCTTTAATTACAGTACCCTGGAATTAGTTAGAAGACTATTTAGTCATCGTTTCGTTTTCATTTCAATAACCCCAATCAAAACAAATCAAAATCTTTTTGGGCTAAAGTTCGAGAACGAGGACTAGCCATTCTAGTAGATCTGTAGGGACAGTAGATCATCGACCACATAGATTCTTTAATTACAGTACTCTGGAATTAGTTAGAAGACTATTCAATAACTATTCAATAAAGACTATTCAACTATTTTGTTTTCATTTCAATAACCCCAATCAAAACCAAATCGTAACCGCACTTCCGTTCCCGAAAAAAAAAGAAAGCCGGTCGGATTCAGAAAAGAAAGAAAACAGCCGATCGGATTCAGAAAAGAAAGAAAACAGCCGATCGGATCTCTTTTGTTCACACCCTTTTGACCTTGTCTTATCGTCTTATTCTTATTGTCTTATTCTTATTTCTCGGAAAATCCCAAATAGCAAGGTCACTTGGGAAATAGGGTTTTAAAAATCAAAGATAACGGAGATGGATTCAGGAGACGGGATAACTTGTTAATTCTTCCAATTCGCGCAAACATTGCCGAGATTTTTCGACAACATATCGAGGGTCCACATTGCAAGAAAGAGGTAATTAAAAATGCTTTTCATTAAAAAAAGGATAATGGTTTTAATTAAAGAAGAAAACTAAATAAAAATCTAATAAAATCTTGTTCTTCAATGTCTAGAGTATTGGTTTCTGAAAAAAATTTTATCAGAAAGAGTCAACGAAATCTGGTTGATAGTGAATTTTGGTTATTGCTATTGCTAGTGGCTATTGCTTTGTGAATCCGACTTTTGTAATGTTTTTTTTTGTTATTCCAATTACGCTTAAACTTTAGCTATAGATCTATTGGCTAGAGAAAGCTCTGAAAAGCTTTTTTGTTATTCCATTTTCGTTTAATCTTTAGCAATACAAAGCTTTTAGTTAAAGAAAGCTATTGTCTATAGAAAGCTCTCAAAACGTTTAATCTTTAGTTAAAGAAAGCTTTTAGTTAAAGAAAGCTTTTAGTTAAAGAAAGCTTTTAGCTATAGAAAGCTATTGTCTATAGAAAGTTCTCAAAACGTTTAAACTTTAGCTATAGATCTTTTAATTATAGAAAGCTTTTAGCTATAGAAAGCTATTGGCTATAGAAAGCTCTCAAAATCATCCATTCATCAAATAATCCATTTTTTTAATTAAAATAATCGATTTTTAAACAAAATAATCTTAACAAAATAACCTATTTTACTATAAAAAAATCTCCAAAGAAAAACTCTTAATCATTTTGTTTTCAGGTGAAATCCGTCGTTCAAATCGAGAGCAATAAAATCGTTCGATTGACGAGCAAAGGGAATTGTCAATTTCAGGTAAAATTTGACGATTTTGTGACGAGATTCACATCAAATTATTGTTCAAATATTTCTAGAATCTAATTTTCTCAGAAATTTGGGTCAAAAAAATTCTTTAAATCATCAAATTCTTTAGATCAAAATTCTTTAATCATCCAATTCTTTAGATCAAAATCCTTTAAATCAATAAATTCTTTAGATCAATAAATTCTTTAAATCGAAATTCTTTAGATCAACAAATTCTTTAAATCAAAATTCTTTAATCATCCAATTCTTTAGATCAAAATTCTTTAGATCAAAATCCTTTAATCATCAAATTCTTTAATCATCAAATTGTTTAATCATCCAATTCTTTAGATCAAAATCCTTTAAATCAATAAATTCTTTAGATCAACAAATTCTTTAGATCAAAATTCTTTAAATCAAAATTCTTTAATCATCCAATTCTTTAGATCAAAATTCTTTAGATCAATAAATTCTTTAGATCAAAATTCTTCAGATCAAAATTCTTTAAATCAACAAATTCTTTAGGTCAAAATTCTTTAGATCAAAATCCTTTAATCATCAAATTCTTTAAATCATGTAAAGTACGAAAGTACAATATTTAGTTCGCAACAAAGCAGCGAATCGATTTGAACGAGAAACAAGTCCGTTAAAGCATCTCAAAGAAATAAATCTCTTCCAAAACGATCAAAGATTTACTGGGTACATTTTAAAATCCTCATTTTTATTTTCAACTTATTATAAAGCTCTAATGACTTCATTTTGTTGCTTTCCGACTGAAGCAAGTTTCTTTTGCAATATCTAGCGCATAAAACGAAACTTTTTATACTATAAAGCGCTAAAGACAAAGTATTTTGAGATTTTCGTGCTCAATTTTGAGACTTTTGACGAGAGGGACTTGAGCTTGAGGGACAAAAATGAAATAAGACCGGTAGCCGGAAGACCGGTAGCCGGAAGACCGGTAGCCGGAAGACCGGTAGCCGGAAGACCGGTAGCCGGAAGACCGGTAACCGGACCTACTAAACAGAAGCTCTAATGACTTCATTTTGTCGCTTTCCGACTCAAGCAAGTTTCCTTTGCAATATCTAGCGCATAAAACCTTTTATACGAAACCTTTTTTACTATAAAGCGCTAAAGACAAAGAATTTTGAGATTTTCGTGCGCCAGAGAGGGTGGATTTGCAAAATTCTGTGCACTCTTTCTAGAAAATCGTATCCGAAACAATGAAAAGCTACAAAATCCCAATTTTATTCGAGCTTTTTGTGTCTTTTTTTTTAACTTAACTAGAATTTGGCTAATCCGTTTTTTAAAAGTACTCAAAACTATCGTTAATGAATGCTGATTTGCTGGAAATTTTGCTGTTTTGCTAAAAATTTATATTAGAATTACGATAGTTTTAATTCCTTTTAGAAAACGGGGAAATTTTCCTCAAAATTTTCCTCAGTCTCCTCTCACACACCTTCTCTTGGTTGCTTTTGCAATTTTGCTTGATTTTGTGATCATTTTGCGTTCTATTTTTGAGTTTGATAGATACTTTATTCAGGAAATGAAATAAAGTGCGCAAGATTTAAGATTGATACACATAAACACGAAAAGGATCGATAAAAAGCAACACGATATAATGTATGTAACAAATGGATAGCAGTAGATAACGTCAAGAATCCACTAGAGCTAATTATCTGTAGTTCAAGATCATCTACAGATAATTGAAAAGTTTCGAGACTATTCGACTAATCTCGGGAAAGCATCCCCATGCTAGTCTTCTCGGTTATCGATTTTCGTTTTGATGAATGACTGATCGACTGATCACTTCAGCACTCTACTTCACTGAACATAATCACCCCTCAAAAGTTGTCAGCTTCTTGCTGAACCTTGTCAGCTTCTTGCTGAGCTTTGTCAGCTTCTTGCTGAGCCTTGTCAGCTTCTTGCTGAGCCTTGTCAGCTTCAAGTTGAGGCTCTGTGGAGGTATAACGGACAAGTACCAGTTTTTTTTTCCAAGAGTCATGATTCGTTTAATGATTAACCTATTTTTATAGTATTTATTAGATTTTTTTTACCATTGGTTCGCTAAATACATTCTAGCAAACGAATTTTATTTTCTAAAATGTCGATACAATGTGATTGTAGGCTTTAGAAAAGAAAAGCCATTTGCTAAAATAAATTTGGCAACCCGATAGCAATGGCAATGGCATGTACCGTATTTTCTCTAATAATAGTGCACCCCGGCAAGCCGAGTTGGTGACTATTTACGGTTCCCAAGCGTTTACAGAAGCTCAAAACTCAAATCCCCCCATTAGATCTCATCGTCAGCTATATTTTCCGACCTCAAATCGATAGGTTCTGATAAGCGGTTCTCGAGATTTCGAGGAATTTAGGCAAAGCTTTTGGTGCACTAATACTAGAGAAAATACGGTATGTCTAGTTTTTTGTCTGCCTAATTGCTAGTATTCAATTCACCTCTAGAATAGAATAGAAGAGTTCAAATACCGTATTTTCTCTAATAGTAGTGCGCCCTGCCGAGTTGATGACCATTTACGGCTTCCAAAGTTTTCCCAGAAGCTCAACACTCAAATCCCCCACAAGATCTCATCGTCAGCTACATTTTCCGGCCCCACATCGATAGGTTCTGATAAGCGGTTCTCGAGATTTCGAGGAATTTAGGCAAAGCTTTTGGTGCACTACTTTTAGAGAAAATACGGTAAATGCCAGCAAAAACAAACTAAATGAAAAGATTTTAACTAGTTTGATAGCTTGACTTTTAAACAAGATTCAAGAGATGATGATAGAAAAGTTCATTGGTTTCATTGATTATCATTGTTTCAGTACCCGTAGCCGTCCAACGAATTTCACTGGCCGAACCAGTTCAAATGCGAATCCCCAGCACTCTCCATCACTTCCAAATCAAACTCCTCCACAATGCACTTGTCTATGGAAATTTGTCAGCATTTTACTATGCAGTTTCTTGATTTTCGTCTTTCGTTTCACTTCTCTACCCTCTATTTTTGATCATCTTTTTCCAAAAATTCTCACTCAAAAAGCGTTTCATTTATGAAGGAAATAAAATGTTGTTTAAAACTTTATTTTAACACAAAACTTACACAAAAAAAAGAAGTTTGAATAAGTTTGAAAAAGATTTTAAAGAGAATTTTAAGAATTCATTCGATGAGATCAAAAAAACACTGGAAATAAACAAAACAAAAAAATGATAGAAAAGAGATGGGAAAGGGACTATACACGTATTTAGAATGATAAAAGATAGAGTTCGATTTGTTCTTTGGGATGCTTGTGCTTTGGAAACGCAGGCTTTCTGGTGCACTGGTCGAATTGTATTTTGTACATGCGGTTGGATAAATCTTGGCCATAGAATAGATCTGAGAATCGCTAGGAGTTGTTCAAAAGATCTAAGAATAGATAAAATTGTTCCTTCAGCCGGTAGATGTCAATGAATTTCTGCTCTAGACGCGTTGCCGTTATGGCCGATTGGTTAAGAGCCTGGTTTCTTAGTCGGGAGCTCAAGGGTTCAATCCCGGTGGGTGTTCTTTTTGTCTTTTCCAAACAATCGACAAAGAAAACGATCGAGAATAGATAGAATTGATTTCGAATTGAATTTTTCTATGTCTACCCTGTATTCAGCTTCAGCTACTCCTAGCTTTTCTTACTAGGGAGAGGCACCAACTTAAGGTCAAGTTTAAGCCTATAGAATGTCACCTTTTGACAGTTTGACACGTATAATCCGAATCCGTTTCCACTTTTTCCTGCGAATTTCTCAATCGCCAGATATTTGGCATCAAAGTCTTTGCATTGGAACTTTAGCGAAGCTCTCTAGCGAGCTCTCTAACGAAGGAGACAACTCCGTCAGTGGTGTCGTGGTAACACAGGGAATTCAGGGGTAAACGATCGGATCTGGCTAATTCCGAATTTTTCTCTTTTCCTTCTAAAAGATCTGCACATAGTATAAAATGTAGTTAAACTTGCTGAGTCAAAAAATCTTGCACTAGGCGGATCCATCTGATCGTTTGTCTCTGAATTCTCTGTGTTACCAGGACACCACCGACCGAGTGTTCTCCTTTGCTAGAGAGCGCTGCAAAAACTTTGATGCGAATTATCTGACGATTGAGAAATCCGTAGGAAAAAGTAAAAACGGATTCGGATTCCCCGTGTCAAACTCTAACAGGGTGCCATTCTTAAACTCGACCTTAAGTTGGCGCCTCTCCCTAGTTAGAAAGCTTATCTTAGAAAGCTTATCTTAGAAAGCTTATCTTAGAAAGCCAATGTTTCCATTCTGACACAAAGTACAACTTTTAAAAGGATATCAAATCAAAATCCCAAACAGAAGATCAGAAAAAGAAGAGATTTCATTTGGAAACTAAAATGCACAACTCGTCTTGTTTCCTTTTTGTGATGTAATGATAAGAGGCGTCAGCTAAACCCAAATATATAACATTCAGTCAAAAGTGATCTAATCTTATAAAGAATAACGTCGAATCTTGAACGTAAACTTCTATTTAAGCAATAGATTTTTATAAAATAAAAAAAAATACCTCATGATTCTAGAAAGGACAGAGTGACGACAGTGGGGGGAAAAACGTTGGACAGTCGAGAATTGTGATAGATTTTTCGACTGAGAGAGAGAGAGAGAGAGAGACACAGTTTTTGTTTGACTGGTTAGCACGTTGACTCTTCATTCATTGTTAGCTCTTGAATCTGTACAGACTGTTTTTTTTATTCAAAAAAATAATGACAATGAAAATCAACACATGCTAAAGAGCACTGAGAAAACGAATCACCTGGGTTGTGTAGGAGTTTTGGCGTTGAATCTCGTGATCACGCAGAGCGCTCAGCTTTACCTAGATTTAGACTTTGTCTGAATTACTTAATTTCGACTCTAGTATTTTAGTTTCACCTAGAATTGTATGAGATTATTCTTTGGTTCAAGAATATTCCAGCTTTTTGATCCTGGAAGTTAAGCTAAGCCTAACCCGCTCCCGGCCCGAAGCCCGATCAGTCTTTAGAGATTACAGTAGCTGGACTACTGTTGTAGGATTACAGTAGCTGGACTACTGCTGTAGGATTACTGTACCTGAACTACTATTGTAGGATTACTGTAGTCGATCTACTGTTGTAGGGGTTACTGTAACTGGTCTATTATAATGGTAATCGTAGTTGGATTGCTGTAGTCGGGGATTACTGTAACCCATAGGCCATCAGTGAATCCCAAGATAAAAATCATTGTAAGTCAAGCTCAAAGGTTACTGTAGCATTGGGATTACTGTGGATTGGGATAATCTGGATTACTGTGGCTAATACTGGATTACTGTGGCTGCTTAACTGTAGGAGGAGATTACTGTAGATGGTAAGAGTAAGGAGTGCAGCAGCTTACTTTTGTAGGGAGCTGGATGACTGTAGTTGGGATTACTGTAGCTATAATAGTGTACTATTGTAGGGATTACTGTAGCTGGGTTACTGTAGTAGGGCATTACTGTAGTAGAGGATTACTGTAGAATAGTGTTAACTCAACTTGAAATACCGGAGTTAAAGCCAAGCCTGGTTAGACCAAAGCCCGGCCCATAGTACTTCTTGTAACACTGGCATTACTGTAACTGGCGTACTGTAGTTGTTGGGGAACTTAGCAGAGATTTAAAGAATTTTTTAAACATCATGAAACATCACTCACCAGTTTTCCACCTTTATAAACGCCCGCTTGAGAATTCGAGGCCACACTCGAATACTTCTTCGATCTCGATGGTACCTAAAGAAGTAAAAGGATTAAACGCCTAACTATTTCAGGTGTTAATTCTATGGAATGTTAGTAAGAACAAGCTTTTGGATTAGCTTTAATTTGAGTTTAAGACTAGGTTATTCTGGAACAGGACAAGAGACGACCACAAATACTCTACGAACGAACCACCCACAGCCTCATAATCGGTGTTGGTGGATGGGATTGGGTTCTATAGAAAGATCAGAAATCAAGAGTGAAAGAAGTTTACTGTTGTTTGTCAAAGAAGAGTACTTTTCCCCGGCTAGCCTATCAGCTAACCTATCAACTAGCCTATCAACTAGCCTATCAGCTAGCCTATCAGCTAGCCTATCAGCTAGCCTATCAGCTAGCCTAACAGCTAACCTATCAACTAGCCTATCAGCTAGCCTATCAGCAATAAAACTTACGCAATGAATCCGAAACATCATGAACATTCTCTTTCGAAAGTGCTCCGACGAGAGGCAGAAAAGAACAAAATTCAATACCTAGATGAGAGGTTTTTGAGAAAAAAGAGAAACAAGACAAAACACTCACTTTTCCCCATAGTAGAACCGAGTTGATGACATACGAGCAAATGTAACGAATTTCTCGATTTGGTACAACCGGTTGAAGCCAATAGAAACCCGATTTCTCGTCGCTTTCAGCAACCAATTCCCATAAGAATGGGAAGGCTGAGGGGAACTAGAATGAAATCAATTAGCAATTCATTAGCAATTCATAAGCAATTGGCTAAATTTTGAAAACGACTTTAATATCAATCTAAATTTGTGTTTTCTTTGAGAGATATAAGAAAATAAACCCCGGTAATCGATTCCCCGACCCTGAAAATCCTAGAGTACAAATTTACAGCTGAATATCTTTTTTTTATCATCTACAAAGTAACAGAGAGAATTTTCTAAATGACTGGCGAGATGTTCTTTGTGCTGTCACATAATCGCTCGCCGTTTGGCACACGCGCCTGATAGATAGCTGTTCTCTTTTGCTCGGAGGCTCGGTGTTCCACAGTCATTTTTCATTTCGTCCTTTTTTCTGATTACTCTCTTTAGCTACTAAATAGTTCAATTCTTTAGTCAAAGTTTATTTGCATATAAGTTTTTAGTAGAGTAAAGATACGAGCCTCGCTTTCATATTTAAATGGGAACCATATTGGATCAAAATAGGAAGCGTATTGGAACCATATTGGATCAAAATAGGAAGCGTATTGGAACCATATTGGATCAAAATAGGAAGCGTATTGGAACCATATTGGATCAAAATGGGAACCGTATTGGAACCATATTGGATCAAAATAGGAAGCGTATTGGAACCATATTGGATCAAAATGGGAACCGTATTGGAACCATATTGGATCAAAATGGGAACCGTATTGGACCGTATTGCTTTTCAAAAATCTTCCCATTCTCTAATCCAAAACTGGTAATATAGGAAAAAGATTCTTTTTAAGTCATCCTGTAATTGTTTTTTAAAGTTTTTCTAGGAAATTAGTTTTTTGAATACTTTTCCAGAGAATCTAAGTATTTACCAATTAACCCGGAATTCTCGTACCAGAATTCTCGCAGATCAGTGCCTGAAGAAGGAAAATTCTCGTACAAGAAGAGGAAAACACTTTTACACTCAATTTCAACTCACATGTGTGAAGATGTGACAAGTGATAATTGCCACCACTGTTGCCGTCACTTTCCGCTCTTGCTTTTGGCGGATTCCAATTTCAGAGTAGTGTCTAGAATTGAAGAATCGATCTCAAATGTACATTGATGAAAGTAAAAAGTTCTAATTCTATAGGAGACCGAATTCATTTCAAACTCACCTAACAAAGTCTTCTCCTTGCCTTGGAGCAGCTGATATGTAGGTACGATTTACGAGGATATCACTAAAGCAAGAGTATTTTATTTTATTTATTCTTGGCCTTGGCTTGGCTTTAGCAAATATGGACTAGCATTGGTATTTAGAAAATTCAAATTTCGTTATTATTTCGTACTTTTTGACTTCCTTTCTCTAGTTCCTATTTGGTTACTTTGTAGTTCCTATTTAGTTCCTATTTGGTTACTGTATAGTTCCTATTTAGTTCCTATTTAGTTCCTATTTAGTTCCTTGCCTCTTTGCCTCTTTCTTTTGACAAAAAAAAAATCCCAGATAGTTCAGTGGTTAGAGTATTTGTTTGGTAAAGTTAAAAAAGGTCGACGATTCAATTCCCTTCAAATCTTTCTTTACCTTTCTTTACTTTACTTTATTAAATATCTTTTTAAATATCTTTCTTAAATAGCATTTTCTAATTCTATAGAAGACATTTGCATAGTTTTAAATGTAAATTTGATTTAGTTTGATTACTTTATGTAATACTTTATGCACTACAGTTTCAATAAATATTTCAATATTTCAAATTTCAATATTTCAAATTTCAATCTTCAATCTTCAAGTTATATCAAAGTTTTGAGCTCTTTAAGATGTTGATTTTATGAAAAAAAAAACCCACTCACCGATTTCTGAGTACCCGAATAATTGAGAGATTGAAGATTGGGATGAAGACTAGTGGGACGAAGACGACTAAACAAATCGAGATGATCTTTGCCACCATGATGTAATCTTCTTTCAACGTGCTGACACGTGCGTACTTCCAAACACTGTAGCATTTGGCAGCTAGCTGAAATGAGTGAATTGTTTGAGGGGGGAAATCAACAAATTTATGAGTCAGTTTACTTTCCAAAATGAGAAAACTTCATAGAATTTTGAAATTTTCATCTTTGAAAAGTAATCTGCCTCGAGAAAACAAAAAAAATTTCGAGTGAAAAAGTTTGGAGAATGGTGCCGGTGAAAATTAGTTAGTGCAAGGTGTGCGACAAAAAAAAGAACTAGAAACACAAGCTTTCTGGAGCAGTGAATGCCATTTGCAATGTCTCATTGCAAGTGGGGAATGCACCAGAAAGAATGCTTTTAGAGATTTGAGTACAAAGCACAGAGCATAAAACACTAGTGCTTTGTTTTTTTTTTTCTTTAATTTGAAAGTGCGTTTAGAAGTGAGCAAGCAAAATTTTGTGGGTTTTCAGAAAGAAAAGAACCAAGCGGATATCGATAGGGAGCGCGGCATCAAAGAGTTTTTTTTTGATCGAGATAGAGATACTGACGATGAGTGCAATGTGGTGGGGTTAGTAGTGAGTAGAGTTGTTTTGGCTGGTGTACTTTGAGCTCCGAGAATAGAAACGCCCTCTTTCTAGTGCACTTAATTCTTCGTTTTCTCAACTTATATCGAAAATTTCAAATCTTACAATCTTATAATGTCTCAAAAGTTTGAAGTCACCTGGACAGCAACTACCGTAATAAGAGACTAATTGCTGTAATAGGAGCGACCAGCTATAGGAGTGTCGTGTAGTCTAAGTTTACTCTTAAACAAACGCTCATATCTCAGCACCAGTACGTTTGTTTCTGCTCGCTTTGGTATCAAATTAAAGTAGAGAGGATGGGTGATTTACGGGCATAAATAAATCTCTGACATTTCATATCTAACTAGATTAATAATGTCTCAAAAGTTTAAAGTCACCTTTTTACCTGGACAGCAAATACCGTAAATGCTGTAATAGAACTCCTATAGGAGCGTCGTGTAGTCTAAGTTTACTTGTAAACAAACGCTCATATCTCAGCACCAGTACGCTTGTTTCTGCTCGCTTTGGTATCAAATTAAAGTAGAGAGGATGGGTGATTTACGGGCATGAATAAATATCGGATATTTCATATCTGACAATCTAATAATGTCTCAAAAGTTAGTTTAAAGCCACATTTTTTTGCCTGGTCAGCAACTACCGTAATAGGAGACTAATTGCTGTAATAGGAGCGACCAGCTATAGGAGCGTCGTGTAGTCTAAGTTTACTCTTAAACAAACGCTCAGATCTCAGCACCAGTACGCTTGTTTCTGCTCGCTTTGGTATCAAATTAAAGTAGAGAGGATGGGTGATTTACGGGCATGAAGAAAGGTCGGACATTTCATATCTGACAACCTAATATTATTAAGTTAAAATGTAAAAACTGTAGAATGAGGACTTAAAGGACTTCTTTTGTTCGCTTATTTATTACTTTATTACTTTATTTAGCATATTAGCTTACTATAAATAGTTAGTAGTACTCATTAGCTGAGTATCTTTAACTCTGAATACTGTAATGAGACAGAACATTGAGACTTTACAGACTTTATTGCTTGACTATTGACTAATCCACTTTCTAAAAAGCACTTATTTTAGAAAACGAGCCTATTCAAATCGCTAGCTTAGATTCGGTGAGTTTAATTTGAATGTCATTCGATTAGGAATCACAAAGCTCAGTCAATGATTCATTAAACCGATTACATTAGTTTTTGTGTCTTTTAGAAAACGAATTACTCAAGAAGAACATATTATTATTATATTATAATAGGTTGATGCATAAGTCTTTTCGTTTTTTTCGTACTTCTGTTAAAAAGTAACAAATTCACCAATTAATCTATAGTTTGCTCTATAAAAAGAGTGTTTTTTTGTTCAATTAGCATCTTTTTAAATGAATTTCGGTTCACTTTGAAGCAAATTCGAGAGTGAAAAACGCCTTTTTCGTAAAAATCTATAAAAAACTCTACGGAAAAATTGGCTGAATGAATTTCTCTGAAAATTTGGCGAAATATCAAACGTTTTTTTTCTCTATCTTTTATCTATTGACACGAAGATAGGTTTTCTTTAGCTAAGGAGCCGGTTTGTGGTTTTTTTTTTTTTTTTTTTTTTTTTTATGGGGAGGGGGGGGGGCCCCCCCCCCCCCATAATCACCTCCTTCTTTTTTTTTTTTTTTTTTTTTTTTTTTTTTTTTTTTTTGGGGGTTTTTTTTTGGTTTTTTTTTTTTTTTTTTTTTTTTTTTTTTTTTTTTTTTTTTTTTTTTTTTTTTTTAAAAAAAAAAATTTATTTTTTTTTTTTTTTTTGTTGTGGGGGGGGGGTTGGGGGGTATGTTGTGTTTTTTTTTTTTTTTTTTTTTTTTTTTTTGTTTTTTTTTTTGTTTTTTTTTTTTTTTTTTTTATTTTGTTTTATATTTTTTTTTTAACCCCTTTTTTTTTTTTTTTTTAAGGTGTCTAAACCGCATCATCGAGTTAGCCCTTTTTGACTACCCGACTTCATACTCTCAAGAAAATCCAGGCATTAAATATTTTTAAACCCGTTTTAATGTTATTTTGCACAAAAATAATTGGTTTTTCTAATGAAATCAACCGTAGTTTAATTCGTGCATTTGTTGGCTTGAAACGGCAGACGAAAAGGAACAAAAACACTTATGCATCAACCACAGGCGAGCAGGCACAAGCAGAGCAGAGCAGGCACAAGCAGAGCTACAAGCAGGGCTAAACTTGGCTCTGGTAGACTTACTAATGTTAACTTGGCTTGAAACGGCAGACGAAAAGGAACAAAAACACTTATGCATCAACCTAATATATTATTATATTATATTATTATATTATATCATATTATACTTAAATATATTATTGATAAAGAGAATATTCAGTATTTAAATCAAAAGTTTTAAATAAGCTAAAAGTTGTGTTAGGAAAAGTTATGGGTTTTGAAATTTCAGTAGTTTCCATATCACGAGGGATTTGGCTAAACTGTGTGCTTGTGGTTAGGCGCTCGAGCCTAACGACTGAGAAAAATCCAAAAAAAGCGCGATACCTATAAGCAGTTGCGACCGGTGCATACCTATAGGCAGTTTCGAGCGATGGGGAACGGGCACGTGTGCTGCAAGCTCTCACGGGCGTCGCCTACAGCACCGGAGCTGTGCGGAGCTGAAGCCTAGGCAGCTGAGGCCTAAATAGCCTTTGAGAAGCCACAAGAGAAGCCTTTAAGTTTGAGTGAAATAAACTAGAATCAAAATTGAAGAAAAGAAGTAAAAAAAGGATATAAAATAGATTTACAGAGTTATGGACTGAATTAAAAGGACTAAATAAGGCGCAGAGTCAAAAAAAACTCACCCTGCCGATAAAATTTCCCCATTATATGGAAAGCACAAAGAATTCTATTCAAAGAGTCAGAAAACAGAAATTTCTGCGGAAATAATAACCCTGGATGAATCGTTCAGCCATGAGGTTCATAATCAGCGCAAAACTGACTCCAAATCACTTTGGTCATTGGTTGGAGGGGAGTAAACTGCAGTCTAGCCAAATCCCTCCCTCGTTATAGGAAAAGCACCGAAATTACATACAGATCCATTAAGAACTAACAAATTCAGTGCCATAGAAAAATGCGTTTACCTCTTTGAGTACAAAGTACAACACCAAAAACAATTCTATTGGTGAGTTTGTTTTTTTTTTCTTTGAAAAATGAGAGCCGATGTGTTCACCCTGGCGAATCGCGGTGGCGGCTGGCCGGCTTTCATTCTTTCCTCTACTTCTCTCAATTTTGGTGAATCAATTGGCAAGAACAAAAGTGAGTAGGCCTGTCGAAATGAAATGAATGTTTAGTGGAAAATGTTTGATTTGATTTTGATTGTTTGATTTGGTGGCATTGATACAATCAGTGAAATTCTAGAAGCTCTAGACACTCTAGAAATTCTAGAAGCTCTAGAAGTTCTAGAAACTCTAGAAACTCTAGAAGTTCTAGAAGCTCTAGAAACTCTAGAAACTCTAGAAGCTCTAGAAGTTCTAGAAACTCTAGAAACTCTAGACTCTAGACACTCTAGAAACTCTAGAAGATAGCTACAATCCTCAAAACATTTATAGATCTGTAAAGACTTATTTTCTCTCAGAAAAAGACGAGAATATCTTTTATTTGGTTACGGTAACTATAGTAGTGAATCTAATAGTTAACAGCTAAGCGTTACAGCTAAGCATTACAGCTAAGCATTACAGCTATCGTAATGAAAAACACGCAATCAATCTGAGAGAAATCTGTCGTGAGAGAAAATATTGAGACTTTACAGGATCTTTTAGTAGTTAGTAGTTAGTTAAAAGTTTAAACTTTTAACAAAAACGATTGCTTTTTATTATATCAAAGCCATATCTATGGTATTTCACACAGCAAAAGGGAAAACCCACCTCTGGGCTCGGCAATTTTCCGATATCTGGGTGATAATCATAAGTGTGCTCGAAAAAGTGATAGAATGATACGGCGCCAGCACCTGCAAATTGAGGATTGATTGATTTGAATAGGCAAAAAGGAGTACATGAGTTGTGAGTTAGTGAGTTGATCTAGCTGTCAAGAGCTATCGAATCAGAATTAACTCCAGCTAAGCCTGCATCAAGGCCAGACCAGATCAAAGCCAGTTCAGAAGCTAGGCTAGACCAACTGGGCTAGACCAACTGGGCTAGACCAACTGGGCTAGACCAACTGGGCTAGACCAACTGGGCTAGACCAACTGGGCTAGACCAACTGGGCTAGACCAACTGGGCTAGACCAACTGGGCTAGACCAACTGGGCTAGACCAACTGGGCTAGACCAACTGGGCTAGACCAACTGGGCTAGACCAACTGGGCTAGACCAACTGGGCTAGACCAACTGGGCAACTAGTTGGTCTAGTCTACCGTAATCCAAAGACCACTTTTAGTAGCTGCTTTCCGCTTCTTCAACTTCAACTTTAGTCCTTCAACTTACCCAAAAAGATCAAGATTATCGTCAAGAACACACGCGAATTGTTCCACTGTAAGCGAGTGTGCATCGGCGAGCGAATGCCGATGTATCTGAGATGGTTCTCGAATAAAAATGATTGTATTTAGAGTAATGCAAATGATAAAGTATACCGAAATAATCCAAAGACGTAATTACCGGAATTTAAAGATGTAATAACCGTAATCCAAAGCCGTTTCTACCGTAATCCAAAGCCGTTTCTACCGTAGCCCAAAACCATCCCTACCGTAATCCAAAACCGTTATTATCTTTCCACTTTGTAATCTTTCCACTATCGATTCATTTTACCATAATCTTTCTCCTATTTACCCAACCTTTCCAACGAAACAGCCAACACGAGCCACGAGGCGGACGCCGAGAAAACGTTTGACATTGAGTGAAAATAGAGATGGGTTTTATAATACAATTCTCTGAAATAAACTTTCGATATCGAATTCCTTAAATCTTTTGCACCGAAATAGCGCATTTCTGTAGAAAGTTGGGTAGATGGTGAGAGTGTACGGGAAATGGCAGACAAACAGAGCGATGTCCATGAAAGCCATTGCTGAGAGGAGGACATTTGCCTGGAAAGTTTGCCATTTGCCATTTGCCATTTGCAATACTGATCTGATAAAATCAAAAAAATATACTAGCTATTTCATTCTTCAATAATCTTATCCAATAATGCAAGTAGATAGGTTTTTTTAAAGATTTAAAGATTAAAAATCGCAAAGTTTAGTTCCTCAGAAAAGCATTTTCAAAAAGTTCTTATTATTAGTAAAAAATCCTATGGTTTAAATTGTTTTCTAATGTCTTAATTCCAAAAAAAACTACCGTAATCTTAGCTTTAAATTTTGATCTAATTTTATAGCTTTAAAATGATCTATCTTTTCTTTTTTAGCTTCATAACTTTTGTCTCAGAGAATTTGGATTAAATAGATTAGAAATCTAAAGCCAATCTAAATTGACACATTTTAGATAATTAGAAAACCTCTGATCTCATCCCGGATGATAATAAGACAGCCAAATTGATTGTGTTGCCCGCGATGCCAAAGAGAATTTGAACGGGCAGGAAGTATCGATAAAGGAATATCTCCACTGGTCCCCTCGTCAAGCGGATCATTGTATCACAAGCTGCTACCTAAAAAGATACGAAGATTTAGGAAAACATCGATATTTCGTAGCCGAAAGTGATTCTCAGCCGGCTATGAGAAATATTGGGTTGGTGGAAAAGTCCTTTCGGATTTTTTGGGAGAGTACCTTAAATTTGTCCAATTTTGACGTTTTATAGCTCATCCTAAAGAGAACAAAAAAAAAAGAGAAAAACGAAGGAAAATCGCGAAAAGCGGCGTAAGGCTATTGATCTGAGGGTCGCTGGTTCGACTTCCACCGGTGACAATATCTTTCAAAAATTTTTTGCTAAGATTCTGAAAATTTGTGTGTCTAAGGGTTATTTTTGACGCTGATCACGAAACACATGTTTTTAGCCTAGGTTTCTGCACGAAAAACTAACGAAACGTGAAAACAGCCATTTTTTGGCTCTGCCGCCCTTTACTAAAATAGCTGTAAAAACTTTTAGAAAAGAGATATCTCAAAACGGTTTTTACCAATCGATCCGTCTTGAATTCAGCTTTAGGATGAGCTATAAAACGTCAAAATTGGACAAATTTAAGGTACTCTCCCAAAAAATCCGAAAGGTCTTTTCCACCAACCCAATAGATGGCCATTCTCGTCTATTTCTCAAAATTTTATTTCGTGTCCAAACTACAGTCTGTCGAAATTTTCAAAAAGTTTAATGAGCGTTTTTATAAATTTTATCCGATTTTTTGATGGCATGATGGGTTTGTATTAGAATAATTAAGATATATGTAATCAAATTTAAAGTATTTCTCAGCCGAACGTGAGTCTCAGCCGAATGTACGAATGTACAGCAAAAAAAAAAGTACACAAAATAGAAAACAATCGAATGGGCTTTTAAACTGACTCATTCTCTCTTTAGAAACTTCTAATGACTTTCGGCTGAGAATCACATTCGGCTACGACCTATTACTATTACTTTATCTAGATAACAAGAATCGATTTTTAAGCTTAAGCCTAAGTCTAAGCCTAAGCCTAAGCCTAAACCGGCTGAGATCCAGAAAATGGGGGTTCAGCCCAAACCCAAATAGACTTAGTGCGAGGACTAGACTAGCCGTTAGCCACATAGATTAGCCCGTTAGCCAATTACCAAATAGACTAGCCGTTAGCCTTCGCACTAAGTCCAAGCCTAAGCCTAAGCCTAAGCCTTAGCATAAGCCTAAGCCTTAGCCTAAGCCTTAGCCTAAGCCTAAGCCTTATAGCCTAAGCCTAAGCCTAAGCCTTAGCCTAAGCCTAAGCCTAAGTCTCATGAAATTAGCCCCAAAAGTGGCTATAACTTTTTATAGACTTATTTAATTTTTATGATTTTTATGTCAATCGATAGGAAAACTTCTCCCGCGTCGAATGACATTAAAATCATGAAGATTAGAGAAATCTATGAGAAGATATCGTCAAAAGTACCTATGAGCGTTTGGGGGACTATTGTCGGGAGGCTAATGTAACTTTAGCCTTAGATATTTCAATAATATTATTAAATTTCTACTGTTAAACCGTTAGCAAATCTAAATTCTACAGTTTTTTTATGAGAATTTGAGTGAAATTTGAATTGTTCTTGAGTCATTTCAATCTTTCTTTATTCTTTTTATTGTTTTTCTTTAAATTTTCTCAATAATGAACAAATTTTTGACTTTTAATGATTAGTAATATCGTTTAGAGTAGGATTGAGAGTTTTTTTTTTTGAATCTCTTCAATCCAACTTCACGTCTTTACGAAGCCAATTTCCCTAAACGTCTCAACGAAGTTAATTTCATCGTTTGCTCAATATTAGCATCAAGGAGATGATGATATAAGCTTTGAAAGAAGTAAAAAACCTTTGAGAGAAGTAAATCTCAGTGCTCTCAAAAGTCTAACTTGTTTACTGAATTGTTAAGCTTGTGGAAAAAGTGAAAGGTGAATGTTTTAAGGAACCGTTTCATTCGTGAACTACTTTATGAACTACTTTACTGATTTCATCAAGTACTTGGACCAGAAGTCTGATTTGGACTTGGCTTTTAGCGTGGTTTTCTCCTTCCCACACCTCAGCCTGGCCTACAGATCTTACAAATTCATTTCTAAAAGTTACTAGCACTTGTTCTAGAATTAAAGAATCAGAAGTTCTAGTTCTAGAATCAAAACTAGAAGTTCTAGAATCAAAACTAGAAGTTCTAGAATCAAAACTAGAAGTTCTAGAATCAAAGAATCAGAAGCTCTAGTTCTAGAATCAAAACTAGAAGCTCTAGAATCAAAGAATCAGAAGTTCTAGTTCTAGAGTCAAAGCATCAGAAGTTCCAATTCCAGAATCAAAACTAGAAGCTCTAGAATCAAAACTAGACCTAGAACTAGTACTAGAGAATGTGAACTTGAGATTTCCTAGTTAAAATTGCAAAAAGGCTCTCACAAAATCCTCTGTACTGTTGACAGTGTTGTTGACCATGTCGAGGATCGGAGTTTCCGCATATTCTGTCAACAATTCCTCGATAAATGCCGTTTGATCCATTCGGAAATCGTCCATCTAAAAGCCAGATATTCAATTTTGTGCATAGTAATTGTAAAGATACAAAGTGAATTAGAATCAAGAAAGTCAAGGTTTTTACGGAAAATCTGGAGTATTTGTGAACTACTTTATGAACTACTTTACTGATTTCATCAAGTACTTAGGCCAGAAGGCTGATAAAGTGAAGGAGATCTGGATAAAGTTTCATTTTGCTGGATAAAGCTAGTGGAAACGAGCATCAAGTGCTCAAAAGTCGTAGGAAATTTTGACGCCATTGAGAAAATCCAAGAAAAAGGGGGTGACAAAATTTTGACGGCTTTAAAAGTGGCTTTAAAAGTGTCACAACTTTCCAATTGTCAATCTAATATCAAAAAGCCAAAAAAAAACGCTTCAATCAATTCCAATAAAGAGTCAAAAGTTGGAAACGAAATGAGAAAAAGTTTCATTTCCTTTCGTGAAACTTTTCATTTTGAATTTCTTGATGAAAAGTCTAAAGTCAATATGGTTTTTAAAAAAAAAAAGAAAAGAAATCAACTCTTTTACTCAAAATTGAATAAACGCAAAGTGAATTAACGGATTTTTTTGCGTTTAAATGTGTAAAAATTGAGAAAATGTGCGAGATTTTTCATTAGTCAGCTATTTTTTTCAATTCCTGAATGCTAAAGTTTACTTTGCGTCGAAACAAACCTTTTCTAGTGCACTGAATTCCTCAATTTCTCGGGAAATCAGTTTTTGTTTAACTCTTTTCCAATAAGAACTGCCAGAATTCCAGAATTTGGAATCGATTCCAAATGGAATCGATTCTCCAGAGTTTTGTGAGAGTCGAATAGTCTCGAAACTTTTCAATTATCTGTAGATGATCTTGATCTTAAAGCTCTAGTGGATTCTTGGATCTACTGCTCTAGTGGATCTACTGCTCTAGTGGATCTACTGCTCTAGTAAATCTACTGCTCTAGTGGATCCACTGCTCTAGTGGATCTACTGCTCTAGTGGATCTACTGCTCTAATGGATCTACTGCTCTAGTGGATCCACTGCTCTAGTGGATCTACTGCTCTAGTGGATCTACTGCTCTAATGGATCTACTGCTCTAGTGGATCTACTGCTATCCATATATTACATAATTATATCTTGTTGCTTTTTATCGGCCCTTTTCGTGTTTATTTTTATGAATACATGTGTATTAATCTTAAATCTAGCGCACTTTATTTCAAGTCCTGAATAAAGTAGCTATATGTCGTAGCCGTTTACGAAATTCAACCGTTAACGAATGATTCGTTTACGGCTAGCCGCAATCGATCCGCTAACGAATCATTCGTTAACGGCTAGCCGCAATCGATTCGTTAACGAATGATTTGTTAACGGCTAGCCGATTGCGGCTAGAATCATTCGTTTACGGTTAGCCGATAACGAATGAAATTTTTTCGCTAGCCGTGTACAATTTGTAATCGGCTTTTGCGAACATGGCTTCTGCAAACAAATGAGTTTTTGATTTCAAACTATTTATGCAAGACGCAAATCAGCTTATCTAGCTTAGCTCAAATCGCTTATCAGCTTAGCTTCGTTAACGGTTAGCCGTTTTCAGCCGTTAACGAATCATTCATTAACAGCTGAATTTCGTAAACAGCTACGACACATATATATACTTTTAAAAAAACCGTAATTTTTGGCTTAAAATAGAAACGCATCAATCTGGTGCACTAAAAACATGAAAAAGGTCTGAAAGCGTGTAAAAAAAAAGCCCATCTGACTCAGTGAATCGCGAAAATTCATCAGAACTCATAAGAACTCATCAGAAAGGATTTGTTTACTTTTGAAAGTACTTTCTTAAGTGAATTTCTAATGTAAAAATACATAAAAACTATACTTTAAAAAACAAATAACAAATAAACTCAGAAACTAAAAAAAAAAACGTTTCTTATTACACGTAAACACGTATTTGATGATTTCTTCATCTCTCAAAATGTTAAGAAAAAGAAAATACAATAAAGAAGATGTTAATGTACAAAAAAAGAACGGATAGAAACCTTATAAAGATTGTTATTGCGTAGATCTTTGATGAAAGATTAATGAGACGAAATGTTCAAATATCATTCGAAAATAGCTTTGCCGAAAAGTAGCTCTTTTCTGTGAAATCTTATTTGATGCTTTGATTTTGAATATCTCTGATTCTCTTGTCCTTCTTCTAAAGCTCGTTTTTGTGATAAAAAGGGACGGAATCCACTTTGCATTGCTTTTGTTTGGCTTTGAAACACTGAATCAACGATTAATTCTATTTATTGGATTTTCTAGATTATTGATTTCTAGATTCGGAATAAAATATCTAAATAATCATTGCCCCATCGGTACCCTCTAACGCACTGCACACGCAGTAATGTAGTAATGTAAGGTAGTAAGGTAATGCAGTAATGTAAGGTAGTAATGTAAGGTAGTAAGGTCATGTAGTAAGGTAATGCAGTAAGGTAATGTAGTAGTAATATTTCCTAGTTAAAGCAGATCTCATCCAATGAAAAGTGTAAGGTAGTTGGATTGGATCGGATTGTGTCTAGAGTCCGATTCTATCCGATAACTTTTCTAGTGGCATCAAATGTAATGTAGTAAAGTAATGTAGTAAGGTAATGTAGTAAGGCAATGTAGTAAGGCAATGTAGTAAGGTAGTGTAGTAAGGTAATGTGGTAAGGTAATGTAGTAAGGTAATGTGGTAAGGTAATGTAGTAAGGCAATGTAGTAAGGTAGTGTAGTAAGGTAATGTGGTAAGGTTATGTAGTAAGGTAATGTAGTTGTGCAGAAAAGTACTCTGACCGTTTGGGATGATAGGTATCATTATAGGATAGATATCATTCGATAGAGAGATGTAGATTACCGTATTTTCTCTAATAGTAGTGCACCCTGAGTGTCGCCTAAATAGGCTCGAAATCTCGAGAACCACTTATCAGAACCTATCGATGTGGGGTCGGAAAATGTAGCTGACGATGAGATCTTGTGGGGGATTTGAGAGTTAAGCTTCTGGGGGAACTTTGGAAGCTGTAAATAGTCACCTAACTCGGTTCGGCGTGGTTTTTTAGTATTTCATTTTTTTTTCAAAGCGCTGGTACTTCCAAAAAATGCGTCTTTAGTATCAAAAAATAGCTCTGAATTTCAGCTATTTTTTGATACCTAAGCGCGCATTGTAGCATAAACCAGTGTCGAGAAAAACGGATCCAAAGCTAGACTACACAACACTCCGCACCGTCATTATGGGGGTGGGGTACTATTACAGTATTTACGGTAGGTTAACGTAGAAATTTGATGTTTCCGGTTACAGGAAAGTATCGAACTAAATCTATATTATCAAATTGAATAGATTTTTAAATAAAAGAAAAAAAAAGAGAAATCAAATCAACATTTTTACACAAGCAAAAGTTGAAGTCACGACGCAGAATTGGCTATTTTAAAAACTTTTACGATTAGTAAAGTCTCGAGAAATCAAGATCAGTTACAAAACGAGATTTTACCTTTTTACTACAAATAGAATTATTTAAAAACCAAGTCAAGCCAAGCAAAGAAAGATCAACTTTCAACCAACCATTGCATCAATTGACTTCCAAAATTCAAGCAACGCTAATAATGAAAGTAAAGAGAAAGAAATGTTAAAGAAAGCCAATTCTTTGGTTTTTTGAAAATTTAAAAAAACTATAACTTTAGGGAAGAGGTGAGGAGGAAATGTGAAGATTGCTTAGGGAAGCGGTGAGAATTGGCTGAATTGGATGTCGATGATAGAGGGGAAGAAAGATAGGAAAAGTTGGGAAATAGGGAAAAGGACAAATCTGAAAACACAGGAGAAACTTAGAAGAACATAGAAGAAATTGGAGAAGACGGGGGTGGAGGATGGAGAGGTGGGCGAAAGGGGAGGAGCACTTGACAGACTTTTTCGGGTTCAGCCAAGATGCGTGAATGTTCCAAAAATCCAGAAGCGTAAAGGAACCAAAACTAAAAACAGGCTAGTCTAGCAATAAAGCTTAGCTAGGTATTGAGCTAGAGTTAGACGCTAGTCTAGCAGCAAAGCTTATCTGCTCATAGGGCTAGAGCCAGAAGCTAGTCTAGCAATAAAGCTTATCTACGCATTGAGCTAGAGTCAGACACTAGTCTAGCAGCAAAGCTTATCTACTCATAGAGCTAGAGTCAGACGCTAGTCTAGCTAGTTAATCCATTCCATTTCAAATAGATCAAACTTCTATAAGAATCGATCAAATCAAGCCTAATACGAGGAATCCAAGAGAAGGAAAAAAAGATAAGAACAAGAGCAAGAACAAGGGCAAAAGAGATTTGGGTTCTTCAACAGGGCCAGACCCATCCAGGCTTTCCCCAGCCCCTCCCCAAGGAAAAGGCTAATGAGAGCAATCTCAACCTCCTCAACACGTATCTTTTCCTATCCTTTGCCTTTTCCAAGATTCTCAATTCCTAGAAAATCTCTTTTTCCTTTTACGCCCACAAATCATGATCTCCTTTTACTGACTACTTGATCACACCAATTAGGAGATCTAAAAGAGGAGTTTGCGAGAAGAAAAGAGAAGAGGAGTTTGCGTGACTCAGTTTTCTTCTTATAGTTATTCGGAGCAAAAAAAGGATTCGTTTGTAAATAATAAAGTTCGAAAATGATTTTTTGAGCTTTTTATGTAATGAATAATGAAATGAATTAAGCGAAATCAAAGTTTAGACTAAATTTTTTATTAGTTTACTGGAATTTCACCTATTGATTGTGCTAGATTCGGAATAAATACCGTATTTTCTCTAATAGTAGTGCACCCTGAGTGTCGCCTAAATAGGCTCGCAATCTCGAGAACCGCTTATCAGAACCTATCGATGTGGGGTCGGAAAATGTAGCTGACGATGAGATCTTTTGGGGGATTTGAGTGTTGAGCTTCTGCAAAAGCTTGGAAACCGTAAAATAGTCGCCTAACTCGGCTCGGCTTAATCGAAATCAAAGTTTAGATTAAATTTTCGATTAGTTTATCGGAATTTCACCCCAAAACTAATGAAA